GAAACCCTTTATTAAGAAACCCTTTTGGTTTTTTTCTCTAAAAAAAAATGATATTATAATAATAATGTAGGTTTGAAACCCTTTTGGTTTTTTTCTCTAAAAAAAAATGATATTATAATAATAATGTAGGTTTAAGCCTTTTGGTTTTTTTCTCTAAAAAAAAATGATATTATAATAATAATGTAGGTTTAAGCATCGTTATTCGGCATAAAACACAGAGTTATGAGTTTATTTGATAGTATAACATACTTTGATACAAAGTTCAGGTGTTTAATATTATTATACATATTCCAACACAATTAATAATGCCGTCAAAGTACAGTTTAAATCCTTTGGCTACTTTAGCACCAATTTACTATATTGGTAAATTGTTCGGAATTTTACCGATAAGTTACACTACGCATAAAAAAAATATGTATAAAAGTTCGTTAAAATTCATCGGGAAAAAACGTGAAAAAGGTATGAATAATAATTTAATAATTTTTTTTATCAATTTGTTCCTACCAACCCCTGTTTTAAACTTGCAGTTCATGTGGGGCGCTTTTACAAAAGCAAAATCGGTTTGGCTTTGTGGATGGCACAGTGGCTGCTTCAGATGTGGACGTTATTCCGAATGATTTTTTATTTGACTAAAACAGTAAACCAGCGGTCGAGTATTGAATGCTCCAAGGACTACTATTGTACTGGGTTTGGATTGTTCTTTTCACATGTAGTCATCAACCCGATCATTGTGGGTCTGGTGTTCGCCCGGGTACCTCAATCAATCGATTTGATTAACATGACCGCCAATCTGTTGTTCAGGGCACGGTACCAACGTTCATGGCTGATATCAAGCACATACGCCATGGTCCTATTTCTATGTACCCTTTTCCTTAGATTGTACCTCACTAATATTTCCACACCCCAGTTATATCCGGACCTTTATTATCCCTTTTTTATCTCTAACTTTGCCCCAATGTTGATCATAGTTCTTAAAGGCGTCCTGTGCATCATTACACAAAACGCATACGAGGATATCAACAGGTCAGGTTTAATAAGCGATAATTGTTTTATGATACACCTGCATAATATTTTATTCTAAATTTAATTAATAATGCTTAATCGGCATAATATACAAAAACTTCGGTGAACGTATAATTTCAACATAATAATTTGTGTCCATTGTAGAGAATTAGAAGAACTATGTCACGTACAGTCGAATTATGAACGAGCAATACGACTGAACGAATTAATGAATGACCATTGGTTTTTGGAAAACCATACAGAAACCATGGTAGATATGTTTGGAGCCGAAATGATCTTCATAACGTTAGACCTTTACATACAATTCTTATTGTATCTATACATACTAACGTGGGAGATGGTCATCCGGAGCGTATTAATGAATATACCATTTTTACATATTAGTCCTCTCATTGAACTGTTCTTCATTATAGGAAAATTATGTTACCTTTGTTACAGATGTCACACCTTTATCAGTGAGGTAATTAAAGACGTTAAAAGTAATTTTTGTTTTATTTATTATAATGCGATTGAAAATGTTGAGATCATTAAACCATGTAAGGTAGACTTCAAAAATATCTTATACAAGATGATTCGCTAAGCGTGCTCATCTCATTTTTTTATTTACATTTTACATATATTCAAATTTTGATTTTCAGAATTTTGAAGTGTAGTTAAAATAGATATTATCAAATAGTTGGAATTTTTACAATATTTAAGGAATATCCTGTTGCGATACCAACTTTCTTTTTTCAAATGAAAATCTATGTTTAAAAATCCATAAATAGATAGAGTATTAATTTATATTGAAGCTAAAAGAACCAATTTTATTTTTGATGCTATGATAAGACGTTGTTCGGGCGATTCTATAACAGTGTATACATATAAACTGTTTTACCGTCACTACCACCAGATAGAGCACTTACCACTCGGTGCATTACTTAATTTTTTGTGTTTATTATTATTTGTAAACTTCATTTTACGTACCTAGTGAACAAATAAATATACTTTACCGAAGTACGAAATAAATAACCAAAAATTATTCTTTCTGACTCAAAAAATTTAAATAAATTTTGATGGCAACATTTTTGATTTCTGCCAACCAACACACATAGTGAATCCTGTATATTAAATTAGAATCGCAAAGTCTACTTTATTTTATCCCAAATTTTAACCTCAATAGTGTTGTTCACATCAGTGTTAAACAGTGTATAAAGTACGTATCTAAATTACAATTGCATCATGTATCTAGATACTACTTATAAATATATTATCCAGTATTAAGTATTTACATACTTATTTTGAAGCATCATTTATTTTTTTCCAACTCTGGGTAACACGTGATTTTAAAATATGAAACATTTTTTTTTTGTTACAAATTGTACATTATACTTTTTTGTGATCCAACAACTATTTCCAAATTATTCATATTAAAATAAATCACTTAAAAATTGGTGTGCGACATGATATTTTAAGTTTATCATATTCAACATCTAAAATTAACAAAAATATTCATAAATGTATCCATTGATTTATTTATAATAAAATGTGTAAAACATCAAACATTTTATTATACAAAAATATTAACTCTGATTTTAGCGTGAAGATGTAATTTATCATTTGAAACATTTGGGCTCAATGGTGTCAAATGATGTAAATTCCCAGACTATCGTTAGTACCTATTATTTTTATAATTATTATTTAAATTAATATTATATAATAAATAAGAATATCCAATCATTACTCTTCTGGTAGTTAAAAATTTGAAATGTGATTTGCTATAAATAATACTTGATGTATTTTACTGAGTTAAAATATAATAATTTTGCATGCAATTGTTATAGTTTTTTACACATCTAGTACTGACTTTGAACAATTTTTATGGGGTGGTTCACTATTTTTTGCATCAATTATATATTTTAGTATTATAAGTTATGTTATTATTAGTATTTATTACAATTAATTCAGTACGTTTAACGTTAATAAATAACATATTAAATATAAATATTTTATTTAAAAATATTTTTATTTAGTTTAATTAAATTAGAAACATTATTATTGTTATTATTTTAGAATGTGTTGGAATATTTTGATTAACAATGATGTTTATTTCTTTTTTTTATGCAAACACTTTTTCTACTAAAAAGCTTACTACGATTATCAAGTATAGTAACTTTTCTGAAAGGAAACGATCCCTGGGTGGTACTTTAAAGTATTCATTTCTAAAATTGCCATTACGCCATTAATATTCGAGATAATGAGGAAAACCTGGTTCTTTAGGTTAAAAACGGTTGAAAGATTTAAAAGTATAAGGCTGTTATTGGCAACCGTTATTATTTATTTTTTGTTATTATTAAATTTTTACTATTTTAATCTTTTTTAAAGAAGTATTGTTTTCATGGAAACGCACATTGTTGTAATCATTTTACCATAATATATATTAGATATATTATTGACAAAGTAACACTATCAACTAAACTTTGCTCAGAATTGTTTTTTCGTTGCTTATAGATATACATTAAATTCTCGTCTATATCTTATTTGGCAAACTTCCACCTACAACAATGGCCACACCCTCTTGCAAAATATGTCCGTATTTTTTTTTAAATGAATCTAATGCAACGAAATTTTTTTGTATACAAATTGATTGCTTCTTCGATAAACTCCTGAGACGAGCTTCTTCGCCATCTTAAATTCCATACAATATTTCAATATTTCTGATCCCATCCGATTTCAATGTTTTTAGATAACTTGAATCATTGCACCGAATGATCGTTCAACCGCATTAGTGACAACCTATTTATTATATACATATAAAACTAATTATATGATTTATGTTGAGTACTGATAACCAATATTATCTGAAAAAAGTTCAGATATAGGATTTTCGTCAATTTATTTTTATTAATAGCAATATATTTAAAATACATGAAATCTGAGATTATATAGTCTTTATAATATTCAGATACAAATACTCAATTATCAATACATTCACAGAATTGTTTTCAATTAGTTTTCTCATTTATTCGATAACGTAACATAATTATTAAATATTGCACGCCCTACTATACGTTAAATCGCAGTATTGATAAATCTACGATCTATTTCATATTATTCATTCTGAAAATAATAAAATACAACCTAATGTATTTTTTAATGTCATTGTCTTTTTTTAACGATTTAAGTCTGTTCGAAATTCCAAGGGGAGAGACATTTGTCCACTGGAACATACCTGGATTCAACACTATAAAAATCATAATCTACGGATAATGATACAAATCATGGCATGTAAATCTTTAAAATACAGAATATAAATCTGTACTTCCTTATCAAATAATGAAATTATTGATAATCCATTCTTAAAAACTGAAAGTTTTGATTGGAAAAGTAATCGTAATTAGTTTAGAAATTCACATACGTAATTGCAGTAAAACGTAGTTGTACTAGTGTAAAAGACAAATTAGTGTTGCTGTTTTTATATATTAATACAAATTTGACAGATATATTAATAATATTTATATTTTATACTTATAGTTGAGGCTATTTACGCTACGTGTAAATTGTCGTAAAATGAAAGTCTCGGCATCTGATTACTTCGACATTAATCTATCACTTCTGTTTGCGGTGAGATCATGTTTATATATATAAATATATATATATATATATATATATGATATATTTTTTGCATTTTATAAAGTATTAATTAGTTTTAGAGCCTGGGTCAGACAATTTATTTTGACCTTATAATGTGTACCATTTTATATTTATTTTTCTTGTGTGTGCGTGTGTGTGTATGTGTAAAATGAATTTTATTAAAATGAATAATATGATAAATAAAAAATATTATTTTATTAATAGTAATTATTATTAAACTCATAAAAATAATAATATATCAATATATTATACACAGATACTTATGAATTCTAAGCGTAGCGAAGAATGTAATATTTCTCCTATGATGTGTTTTTTTGTGTCTGTAAATCAATTTTCTATCAGAAATCGTGTCTCAATCGAAAAGATGTTTTTTGTAAGGTTTTTAGTGCATATTTTGATATATTTCCATATTTTGATGCATACAGATAATTTGTTGAGTATCCTTGAAGTTTTTATAGTAATTTGGAAAAACCAGGGAAATTATATATTGGAAGAACAAAAGAAAAAGTTTCATAAAAAGACTATACAATTTGTATTATTTTTGATTCTTTTGATCGAATTAATGTTTCAGAAATGTTGCTACTAATTTAATTTATTATAATTTTTTAAGTCTATTTGGTGCATAAGGTCAATTTTTTGATTTTTCTTAAATTTTTCTTATTAACTGGAAGAAACCAAAAAAAAAATAAGAAAAACGGGAAAATATATGGAATTAACGATATTATTTTAAATTTCGTTTTTTTTTATTGTAATTCAGTTAATAATCGTCATAGAGACTTGAAATTTTAACAGAAAACTTCTTTTCAAAATATTTAAGCCATTTTTATGTACGGTATTTATAACGATTTTAATGTGAGTTTTTTAAGTAATTTTTATTTGGTAGAAACTCTGTGGATAAAATTATTAAATTAATCAGAAATGCTTGAAAATTTAACAGAAGTTTCATTATAAATCGTACTAAGGCATTAAAAAAAAAAAAAAAAATTAGTGTTATGAAGCATTTTTTTTTTTTTTTTCAAAAGTATTAAAATAAAATTTTGATTAAAATCATAAATATTACGGTCTTTCAAAACATGTGTAACCAAACTTCAATTCGAATCGTTTTTCGGTAGCAATAATTTACCCATGCTTCCAGATATAAATTAAATAACTTTATGTATCTATACCATCCTAATTTCCATCTGCCACAGTGGCACACCCGTTTCCAGTATCAGTCCCATATTATTTTAGTTTCACGTGCGTTAATTTGTTGTGGCCGATCAAAAATGCTTGACAATTTTATACAAGGTTCATCATATTAAGTTTTACTTATTGGTTAAAAAAAAAGTTAAGCATAGTAACATAAAAGTTTTTATAAACTAACTATAACGAAATTCATAAAAATCATGCTATTTAAAAACATGTTTTATTGAAATTCGTTCAGACTCATATTTAGTTAAAAATGATTTACCATTAAATACAAATATAATTTAAATACTATATGTATCCAATCTTCTTAATTACCTACCTATAACAATATGACACCTTCTTCAACAATATCAGCAACTTATTTTAAAAATATGTAACACTGCTACTTGAAAATAATATAATCAAACAATAAATTAGACACTTTACTGTCACATTGGAATTCAAATAATTTTTACAACTCACAAGTACACTCATCAGTGTGTTACTTCAAACAATTAGCTTATTATTCGTCTTTTAAAAATGTTGGACACGATTAAAGAGAATCCGAATCCTAGGATTCTTCTACTAAATACTATGACCTTGACGGCCTTGACTAAAATGTTTGCATAGCTAATTCTGTTGAGTATTTGTTTTGATAAATTATGTGTTTTCTTTTTCACAGACGGCCGGCGGTGTATTGGGATATTTTTTGATACTGGCTCAATTTCAAATGAAGGGTTACGTCAAAATGTTAGAAGCACATGCCTTATCAAATGTATCACGGTCATATTGTATTTCATGGCCATGTCTTGAGCTCCCCATTACAAACAATAATCAGAACATTTCAAACTGAAAAAATTTATCTGTACCAATATGTAAATTATATTAACTTTTTAGATTCTGAGTGTAGCGAAGAATGTATTGATTTTACTAAGATGTTTATTTTTCTTCTTTTTTTTTTTTCATCCTACGTACCAAAATTCTAGAAATTCTAGAAATTCAGAAATCTTGCTCAGATATATACGCGTCGTACTATTTCTGAAAGAGAATGTTGTCCAAATGGTACTTTTGGGAGGTCATTTTTTGATTTTTCAAGCAGTTTTTATAATATCTAAGGAAAACCAGGAAAATACGAAAGAAAACGGAAAATTTACGACAATAATGCTTTTATTATTTTTCAACTATGTTATTTGTTGTAATTCAGTTAAAAATACTCGTCGAGACTTCAAATTTGGAAAGAAAACTTATATTTTCTCTTTCTAGATGTGGTAAAATTTTCACAAAAATTTAAACCATTTCTTAGTCATTTAAAGACATTGTAATTTTTATTCGATAGGTACACTGTGGTAAAATTGTTTAACTTAAACAGAAATGCTTAAAAATTTAACAAGAGATTCATTAAGAATCTTAGTTTGTAGTCCAAAAAAAAAAATTGAGTTTAATTCAGTATTTTTTTTTAATAAGAGTATTTTAATATCAAATTTTGACTAAAAAATTGTTTTATATGTATATGTATATTGCCGATTAAAGAACAATGATTAAGTCAAAATTAAACGGACTGACAAGTTTCGAAATTATAGCTTTTTGAAGTTCAAGTATTATACAGATATTATATGTTATGTTAAATAACTCTATATTATCCTTCTCAAAGCATATATGTCCTGATCTAATAGTCATTTATACCTATTATCATCCTAGAGATTCCGAGTTCAAACCGGTGTGTCAAAAAAAAATATTGTTTGCATTTTTTTTACCTAAACAAGGAAAAAATAATGTATTTTGAACGTCCCTAGAGACCCAAGCAATCGCTCCTTCAGACTTTTTTAATCACAAAATACCCCTCGATTTGTTGTGCAAACTTTTACACTAGAAATCTTACTCTGATATATCAAGTTCAGCTTATTTTCTAAAAGGAAATTTTTCTACATGGTAATTTAGGGAGGTAATTTTTCAATTTTCACAAGAGTTTTCCCAGCAATCACGAAAAACCAGGAAAATCGGAACAATATTAAACAGATATTATTAAAGAAAATATATAATGCCTATTTAATTATTTTGCCATAATATGCCATAGCATATATATTATTGACAAAGCATCACTAACAATTGAACTGCTCTCAGAATTGATTTTTTCGTTAACAATGGCCTATCGTTGCTTACAAATATACATTAAATTACCTATAACAGTGGCTGTCTCTATTATCCTAGGACGTCTTTTTTTTTTTGTTTTAAAATTATGATGGATATTAAAATATAATTATGTATCGGTACCTATGCATGTATAGACGTGTCACACAAATCACTACAGTCAACCCAGAGATGAAGTTGATCGATTCGGCTACACTTAAAATTTTTTCTAAAATATTAAATTAATCCTACTTGTCTGTTATAGACAACCACAACGCCGATCATAGGAGGGAATTGAAATGTTTAGGTTAGATTAAACCCTTTTACAATGAAATAAAAACATGAAGTGTTTTATAAATTGATGACGGGCCCAAATCACCGTCGTCCATTTAGATTAACAAACATGAAATAATATTAAGCAGTTACATAACAGAAACGAGAGAGAAAAGGGGTGCTCTTTAACTGACACTATAAGGTATGTATGTATAATTGATAAGCAAATAAAATAATACATAGTCAAATCCAAAGGACAACAATATGACAATATTTGAAATAAACACTACTGCACCATTGCCGGCAATTTGACGGCAGCCCACTGGTCCTCGCAAATATCGGTCAGGGAAGGAGTTGACTCCGGCGATCATTTTCCGGATCATTCGCCGCCGAATTTTTATCCTACTGCGGCAAAGCCCCCTCGTCGGAGACGAGCTGGGACAACTTTCATCGGAACGGTTTACACGGCACACGAAAAATACGACAACACAGCTGTCGGATGACGGCTAACGGTAAAAATGGCGGGAGTCCGGCACCGAAGACACAGACGGCGGCCGCAAGATGAATCCGTTCAACTTTCGACGCGTACACCACGCATGATGATAGTCCCAGCAACGGGACGACGGAACACGCCACAATGTGTGCCGATTCCGCGCGACCACGCGACGCGGCTAACGTACACCGCAACGAGCAACCGCGTATAAGCACCCAGACGAAACAAAAGCGGTGAATCCAGTGGGGTGGGGGGGGGGTTGTATTATCAAAAATTCTCGAACGGTCATGTCATCCATAATTTTATCGACTTGACCGACGACAGTTCCGACCGATAAGGCGTGAACGGCCCCGCATCGGTTACAAATAGCGTAGATTTACGACAGACGTTTTGTTTTAATTATTACGCTTTTTTATTTTAAACATGTTTTAGGCATACCATTGTTGTTCCAATTATATAATCACTTGTTAAACAACACAATTGTGATTTTTTAAAAAAAACATCTTCATCTCCTCCTCATATAACAATAAGCATATTAAAATACTACAACACCAGAACAATCAAAAATCTATATTATTTCTTCTAATTTTCTAATTATGTTTTATTGTAATAAACATGGAAAGACTAACTTTGGGTATTTACTTTTTCAAATCATGTGCATCGGAAAACTGACTTTTGGCTACCCCGGAATTTATGTTTATTTCCTCATAAATGACTAAATATTATGTTAATATGTTTTTATTATTAAAACAAAAAATTCTTATAAGACAAACTTCAAAAGAATTATTTGATGTCAGTTTAAATATACACTTTTAGTTCATCAAAAATTTTTGATCAATAGAATTTTTTGGAGCGACACATTTATATGAATTTTAAGTCTTAGGAATAAAAAAAATTGCCATCCCTTACTTACGTATTACATTTGCACTAAAAATAAGGCTTTTTTCAATTTTAATCATGCAATCCCAGATTTTCTATTTATATTATTATATTAATATATTATTATTATAAACATAATTAATAATATTAATATAAACAACCGTTGTGTAACCGTGCTGTAAACGATGTCTCAGTGATATAGAACATATTCAGGAATGACAAATTTTAAATTTAGAAATGATAATTAATAATACATTTTATCATAATCAAATTTAATTTACTTGGATTTTAAACATGCCAATTTTAAGAAGTAAGAATAGTTTCCAATTTTATTTAATTTGATTAACTCTCACTACACCATTTTTTTTAAAAATTAGGTATCTACACAAATACCAACTAATAATTTATGAAAACCTTTAACATCAAATATGTATATATTTCCAACGCAATTTAACTAGTGATATTTGGATGATATTTAGTCGATAGTTGGGTACCACTTTTTAATAACACAGAAATAGAATAACTTTCATTAAAATCGAAAAGGCAAGAGTAAATACAAAGGCAATATAAGAGTGATAATAATGTAGTATAAGAGTTTTACAGGGGAAAATGGAGTGTTCAGCTAAAAAATTGATTCGGAGTTGTGAATTCGAGAATGGTGACGAGATAAATTAATTAGGAATACAATACTGTTTTACCTACTCGCGGTGTTGGCACAAAAGGGTCTATATCTATAGATATCTTCACATGAATTCATTAGATGACAGCTATAATTCAATTAAAATATTCTAACTAAAATATTTATCACTTCGAAACTGCGTGCACTCAGATAACAAATATGTTAATATTTAAATTAGGAAATAAAACTTAAAGTATTTACTATGGATTCTAAGAATCACATTTTTAAATTTTTTTTTTTCCAATACTTAAGTTATTAATGATTCAAATTTAATGAAAAAAAAATATACCTAAATAAAAAAAAAATAAAACAAAAATATTAAAATAAAAATTTGTAAATTTCATAATAAATATTATTTTTTATGCAATACACAGTAGGTCTCTTGCCCTAAACATAATCAGAAAGTTGAAATCATGGAAATATGGAATGCGTTCGTTGCTATTTTACGTGCGAAACAAAAATATAAAACAAATGTTCGTAGCGAGGCACTTTTATTGTTTTTATTAGAGGTTCCAGTGTCTATTCATCACATGTCAACGTCGATATTATATAGACTAAGTTAGCAATATTTAATTATATACAGATACAAAAAACAACTCCTTTTATATATTTGTTTTTCTTCGAGAATTAAATAATAATAATTCAGTTTTAAACAATCAACTATTAATGAGTATAAAATGCGGAGAGTTATAATTTTATTCAGTAGTGTATCGCATAATGATGTAAAGCTAAAAGAAGATACAATAACAATGCCATCGTCGTACCATTTAAATTCACTGACTAAAATAGCACCCGTCTACTATATGGGGAAATTACTTGGAATTTTACCGATAAGTTATACTACTCGTAAACAAAACGTGTACAAAAATTCGATACAATTCATCGGAAGAAAACGGAAAAACGGTAAGAATAATATTATTATAAAAATGTTTACCCATTAATCACTGCTATATATTCACAGTGCGTGTGGGACGCTTCTACGCAAGCAAAACTGGTTTGGCCTTATGGATGACACAGTGGCTTCTTCAAATGTTGGCCTTTATTCAGATCTCTTTATATTTGGCTAAAACGATAAATCAGCGTGTTAAAATCGATTGCTCCAGTGACCACTTTTGCACTACGATCGGGCTGATTATGTCGCACGTGATTATTAACACTATCGTCGTAGTGATGGTTCTAGCCCGATTAACACAATCGGTCGACTTGCTCAACATGGCTGCCAGCCTGTTGTTCAGATCACGGTTTCCACGTCCGTGGCTAACTTCGGATACATGCTTCATCGTCTTGTTTCCGAGTCTTCTTTTTTTCAGGTTGATTCTCACTAATATCACTACACCCCAATTCTATCCAGATCTTTACTATCCTTATTTTTTCTCCAATTTCGCCCCTCTTACTATCGTCATTTTATATAGCGTCCTGTGCGTCGTTACCCAAAACTCATACGAGGACATTAACAGGTAAGATTTTATCAACGATTGTGGACAATTTTGAACAATTCTGTAGAAGTATTATGGCGCACAGTGGTCTGGAAATGAAATTTAAGTGGCAAAAATAGGCCATTAAAAATGTTCAAAAGATCAATTTTTTTTTCTAGGATCTCACTAGTAGATTACTAGTGTAAATACAAAATTTTAGTCTCATAAAATTTTAAATTCAAAGTGTATCAAAGACTCATATTAGTTTAACTAAAAATTTTTTTTATATATTGTATACAAAAATTCGGACGTCAGTCATTTCCACCAAAACACTTGATTTTCGTTTCCGCCAAGTTTACTTCAACCTATATTATGTAGATGAAGTTTAAGAATCTCTAGTCTATATACAGTGTTATAGATCCCCGATGTATATCGAGTAGTAGCGGTGCTTAAATACAATTTACGGAGAGACTTCGCTTTTGTGTAACTGTTGGTTAATTATATAATATGTTTTTAATTGAAATATTTGAGATCCATTTAAAGTTACCCAGGAACCACCACGAGGAGGTGAATATCATTAACCCTTCAAAACTTAATTTTCGGATTAAGTTAAAATATTTGAATAAAGTTGATTATAACTAAATTTATGTTACAATTATTATTTCGAATAATTCTTGCACACCTTTTTTTAAAAATGTCATTCTTGAAATTTTTTTATTTTTGTATTCATCTATTAACACACACACTATCTACACATATATTGTAGATTAGATTGGTTTATATTTATTTATAATGAGAAGGAATTAATAATTACTACGTGTAAATAAAATAATACATCTCTAATCTATCTCTATATAAATTTTAAATGATTTATACCAAATCGTGTATTTAAACTAGGGGTTCTTAAACTCCATCTTAAAAATATAGGTAAAAATGAACTTGGCGGAAACGAAAATCGAATCTTTTTCATTTTGGTAACCGCCGAAAAATTCTGCCAGGAATCTTGCTCCGATATTTACGGGTGGCACCATTTCTGAAAGAAAATATTGTTCAAATGGTACTTTTGGGAGGTTGTTTTTTTGATTTTCCGAAGAGTTTTCTCAAAAAATTTGAAAAACGAAGAATAAAAGTAGGAAAACCGGGAATAACGGAGACAGAAATCGGAAAATTGTCTAAAGTTAATACATAAAAAGTTATTTAAGTAACAACGACAAATATGGTACATTTAATGATACATTTTCTAAAGTATTTAAACCAAAAGTGATATTTCTAAAAATATATGTTTAGTTTTTAAATTTTAAATTTTAAAAACACCATTTTTTTTTTTATAACAATATGATCTTTGTGCGTTGTAAAATAAAAAGGGACGCAATAAAAAATTATATATTCTTATAGCTGAGAATTTCTTCTACAAAACACATTTATTGGGTGTAGGGTAAACTTGAGTTAACATTTACTACAGTCTGTGGAAAAAAAAAACACAAAGACGTTCAATTTTGTTATTATTCATAAAAGTTAAGGACTTAAATTAAAAAAATATGTATATATATATTTTTTCATAATCTTAATATGTGACTTAACAATCAAGCATTTCATTTATTTTTATTTTATGCATTTTAATACCCAAAAGAATTAATGAACTATCCACATTTTATTTTCAAAATATCAGAAAAATCAAATTTGTCTAGTTAACTTAGCTATAACTCGAGTTCAAAATATGTTATATAACTGAAAATGCGTGTTTACACTAGAAGAATATCTGTTAATAAGATTCTAAAACAAAAATTGACTTTTCGAACATTTTTAGTGACCTATTTTTGCCACCTAAATTTCATTCTCAGACCGCTGTGTGGTATACACTTTTATACAAATTACTTGTTTCGTTCACTATAGAGAATTAGAAGAACTGTGTTACTTACAGTCTAACTACAAACGAGCAATACAACTAAACGAGTTAATGAATGACCATTGGTTTTTGGAAGACTACACGGAAACCTTGGCAGATTCTTTTGGCACCGAAATAGTACTCATAACATTGGACATTTACATACAATTCTTGCTGTATCTATACACACTTACGTGGGAAATGGTTATTCGTAGCTTATTTACAAAAATGCCTCTCTTTTATATCAATACCATTGTCGAATTGTTCGTCATTATTGGGAAATTGTATTACCTTTGTTACAGATGTGACGCTTCCACCAACGAGGTAATTTAAACAAAAAGATATACCAATTTATTTTTTACTATACCACCACATGCCATAAAAATGTTTTTATTCAAATTTAAAAATTGATTTAAGGGCAAAAGAATTATTTTTCACTTGAAACATTTAAGCTCAATGATACCAAATGATATGAATTCTCTGGATATAGTTAGTAATTTTTAGAAGTATTTAATACAATGGATTTTTAATTATCCATTGCATTAAATTTTTCATTTTTAAATTATATACATTTATCTAATTTATGTTTTAAAATACCTATAGTTGAAGCTATTTACACTGCGTGTAAATTGTCGTAAAGTGAAAGTCACGGCTTCTGAATACTTTGACATAAATTTATCGTTTCTGTACGCGGTAAGATAATGCATACAATATAGATACTTACTTATATATTTTTAATATATGTGCTAAGTTTTTATAACTCTCATAAACTTATTAGTTATTTTCAAATGAATAATTTTTTTTACAGACGGTCGGCGGCGTAGTGGTATATTTTATGGTACTGGTTCAACTTCAAAAGGAGGGTTACAATCAAATGTTAAAAATGAATTATTTTTCGAATATAACTATAACACGATATTGTAATACATGGCCTTGTCTTGAAGTCCCTATTATAAAAATAACCTGAATATTTTTTAACTAAAAATAAAAATGTTTGTCAATTGTTTTTAATAAATGCAATTTAATTGTTGTTATAAACTTTTGTCGATTTTTAAACGTAAATAATAAGACACGAACTCATATGCACAATTCGATCATTTAGTATATTTAGCTGAAACGTTTAACAACGCGCCCATGCTGAAGAATTACCAAAATTGTATAACTATTGATTGAAAAAAATAAAATTTATATTTAAAAAAAAAAAACCCACTAACCATATTTAGTAAACCTCCATTGATTTCAACGAGAAACTAAGATATTTATTAATTATTTGTGTAAAAGTTACTTATGTCTTGTCTTTGTTTAACATGTCAACGCCAGAATAAATAACATAAGTAAGTTCCTCAATATTATTAAACAAACAATAAAGAACCTTTTACTATACAATATACACATATATTATAAATCATTTTTTATTTTTTTTTTTAGGAAAATATCATTATTCAATATGATACATGTAGTTAAGTCTAAGTTTGTTCGTTAGTATATCACTGAATTCAAAGTACAAAATTAGTAAAAAAATGTAATTTAAATGTTTACCCATGATAATAATCATGCGATCAATCAAATTAAATCCTTTAACGAAAATAACGGCCATCTACTATATGGCTAAATTTTCGGAATTTTACCAATTAGTTACGTGACTCATAAAAAAAATGTATACAAAACTTCAGTACAATTCATTGGGAGAAAACGGAAAAACAGTATGAATAATATTTGTATAAACTTGTTTACTGAATAATTCCTAATGTTGACTTGCAGTGCGCAGAAGACGCTTTTACACAAGCAAAACTGGTTTAGCCTTATGGATGGCACAATGGCTTCTTCAGATGTGGGCCTTTATCCAAATGTATTACTATTTGAATAAAACGACAAATAAACGTCAAACGTTCGAATGCTACAACGATCACTATTGCACTGTCTTCGAGGTGTTGCTATCAAACGTGGTTATCCATCTAATCGTCGTGCCTCTGGTACTGGCCCGGTTACTAAAATCCATTAATTTGTTCAACATGATCGCCAGTATGTTGTACAAGTACCGGTATCCACGTCCATTGCTAACATCTAACATTTTTGCCATTATCCTATTTACGTCTATAATTTTTATTAGAATAATATTCCATATTTCATATTAATATTACTACCCCTCAGCTATATCCGGATCTTTATTACCGCTATACATTTTCGAAGTTTGCCTCTTTGATAATCATCCTTCTCAAAAGCGTCCTGTGCATCATTGCCCAATACTCATACGGAGACATCAACGGGTCGAGTATTATTGACAATTATTTAATTCTATATTATGATACACTTAGGTTAATATTTTATAAGAGATATCTACATAAATCTTAGACACAGCAAATATATGATTGTCGGAATATTAGTACGGTCTATAGAGTTTATAACAATAGAAATAAAAAACGTGGAATACTGGAACTCTTCAAAATGTATATTTCAGGAGGTCCTCAAATATGTATAATGTTTATATAGTATTAATAAATCACCATCGTCAACAAGTTAAATTAAAATAATAAGTAAAAAACAAAAAAAACAAATATTAGCAATCAAAATGAACAAGAAACATAAATAAGTGGATACAGAGTAGCTGATAGGTAAAATAAATATAAAATATACAATAAATATAATATATAATTTATGAACAATAATAACTATTTCATACACTTTGCTATATTATTTAAAAATTGTCCTGTTTTAATTTCTTTATTTAAGTAGCTCTCACATTCGTTGTGTAGTTTCTGTCTTGCATAGTATTTTTTTTTTTTTTAACTATTAGATATTGTGTAAACCCGAAGATGGATTTTGAATTCGAAACCGGTCGGTAAACCTAACAGTTCAAACTAAGAAATGTTAACAGTGGTTATATTTACACGTTTTGCCAAGTCAATATTGTTGACTAAGTGTTTAACTTTAAAATTAAAACCTTTTTGAACACAGAGTTATATCGAAGTGTTTTTGGTGTGATGAATACAACGCCAATTGAAGCGCCGGTTATATCACAAAATAATACCTATTGTTTCTTGCGTTCTTTTTATTGAATATTTTTTTGGGGGACTTAAACACACTTCAAAAAATAATTCTGTTTTTCTATTGGAGCAATATTTCTGGTAGAAAACATAAAACGTACACATTTATAATTATTACAAATCTGTTAAACAATATATAAAAAATAAAACCAACATATATGATTTTTCTAAATCTAAAGAACATGGAGATTTTAACTTGTGACATATACAAGAAAATCCTTTGAGAAATCATTCGTAGATTACTTAAGTTCTATTTATTTTAATCAGATGCCAACAATAACAAAAAAAATATTTATATTGTCTTATTAAACGAAAAAAAATCGTGTATAACTAGCTTTTTTCAGAAATAATTTTTTCTATTATTTCTAATTAGAAAAAAAACTACAGGAAAAAACAAAAAATTACTTTCTTCATGAGCATCTATATCCATAATAAAACCAAAGGGTCTCTTGTCGTTTTTCTATTGGAGCAATAATTTTAGTAGAAAACAATTTGCACAGATGATAAAACAATATAATCGGTAACGCCGATCGGTAAGTGCTCTGAACATACTTTTTAGTGTGCTATAAGCCACTAATGTTTTAATTTATGATACAGTTATAATAATTAAAATATTGTTATTTAATCGGATATATATATAAAAATAATATTCATTGCAACATTAAATTCGAAAGTGGAATCAAGTAGCCGAGCCGATTGACTTAACCAAGAAAAGAACTGTAGGGTCAAACATCAAATTTTAACTCTGATTTTTAAACTGTATTATTTTAAATTAAAAATTTGTCAAAATAGAGGAATTTAATCTTTAAAATAGTACCTCATTTATTAAATTTGGTTAACTCCAAAGAGAGTTAAAGGGATCGTAATAAAAATTAATTTTTAATATATAATATAATATATGATGGAACAGAATTAGGAAATCAATAATCATTCTATAAATTTTAATAGTTAGTTGAGGATTTTCCGTGACCTAGTAAAACAGTTTATGAATTATGTACAGTGAAATAATAATATAACAGTAGAAATTCAATTATTTTTGTTTCTTAAGATTACCTTCTTCTAAAGGCCTAAACATCGTAGCGAAAAATTTTCATAATATTAATTATAATTTATTTAAAACGTGTTTTAAAAACAAATATGATTAAAACCATATAATCAAAAATACACAAATATACAATACCTAACAAAGTTTTTTGCGTAATAAATCATTTTAAAAAAACATCCTTTCTTCCTGATACTATTACATTAAAAAAAAAAATTCTATACTATGATTATTACCACGTAAATAACTCAATGTAACATAAAATAAAATGTATATATATTGCTGGAAGAATTATTCAGTATACTACGTGTAAAATTATGGCAACATTTCAGATCAATAGTGTTGTTGGTGTAAGACGAAAGTTACAATTTACCACAATAACATATCTACAGATTTCCAAATAACTATTCCACAGTATAAACCAAGTATAATTAAAATTTTAAAAATATTTACTAATTTAATTTAAATGTATTAATTAATTTATATATATATATATATATATATATATAGAAATGAATGTTTGTGTGTATATTTCTTATGCCTTCCTAAACCGTTCATTCGATTGCCATGAAACTTTGTTAAGTACACTCCCGTGAAGGGTTCTGACATCTATGAAATTCTTTGTTAGCCCTACTATCACCATCACAAACCGGGTTTTAGGTACTTTAATTATGAAGATAAAATATTTATTTTATTTATGGGTTACCTTGGTAATACGGAAGAAATATTAAATTTCCATGCCATTAATAGGTTCCGGATTTTTATGTAATATTTATATTTAAAAATGTAAATTCAGTATTTTATACAATATTTATAGTCTACTTAAGTATTCTCAAACCAGATAAAATAAATGTACTCGTACATATCATGAAGGTAACTTTTTTTAATTAAATTTTAATGCTAAGCAGAAATAATAAAAACAATATATATAATTATATTAAATTTATATCTAAAAAATAATCAGTAGGTATTTATACTCGAGTCAAGTTTGAAATGGTAGAATTTTTTACTATATAAACGGCTTCCAAACAGGGCCACGAATAACAGTATTCCGATACAGATGTGTTTGGAGGATTCGTTTCTAATACTCTTTTGTAACCCTCCATTTGAAATTGGACAAAAACCAAAAAATATGTCAGTATGCCGCCAATTGACTGTAAAAAAAAAAAAAAATACATATTATTAATAAAATAATGGGTCAGTTATACTATTTATAATGGTAAGTACTTAAAAACGAAAGTGCATTATCTTACCGCAAACAGAAAGGATAAATTTATATCGAAGAATCCCAAAGCAGTGACTTTCACTTTTCGACTATTTACACGTAGTGTAAATAATCTCAACTAAAAGGAAAACAAACAAAATTAAAATGGTTTTAAAATTCATGATTCTAACGGTTTAATTTGTGGTTTAAAAATACTCATTGACATCTTACAGCTAACGTAGGGTAATTTTCTATCTCCTCCAAACTACTCGTTATGTAAACATATAAATAAAATAGCCTACAAATAATTATTTAATGATTATAATAGCAATTACTCACGATCATCTGAGAATTCGTATCGTTTGACACATTGGAGCTCAAATGGTTCAAATGAAATATTATCCGTTTGCCCTAAAATCAGTTTTATTATTATTTTAAAAACATTTGTATTATAAATCTATACAAACAAAATAGAAAAAGTCGCCCTCTTATAATGGAATTGTATGCAGCCACTGTGATCAATAATTTAATGTACACTTATAAATAACAATAAACCATTGTTAACGAAAAAAACAATTCTGATCCAAGTTCAGTTGAAAATTCTGATTTATCAACAATATTATGGTAAAATACCAATTATTCCAGTTTCAAAATTAAAATGGTTCCCGTTTTTCCTTCCTTTTTTTTGGTTTTTATATTTGTTGAAAAGATTCTTGAGAAAATTGAAAAATGACCTCTTAAATGTACCTCTCTACACAGATTTCCTTTCAGAAAAAGTGCTACACATAAAAATTGGAGCAAGATATCTGGTAAAAAGTTTGTCCCCCCCAAAAAAAAAATAATAATAAAGTAAACATTTTTGTAAAACCATAGGCTTCTTCGCTCTACTCAGAATCTAAAGTAAGATATATTGAGTCTTTAATACTGAGAAATTTAATAATGATATTTTTGATCAATGAAAGTGATTTTTATACTTAATAATTATTTTTAAATCTTAATTAAATAAAATATCATAAAATCATATAATATATTTATTAATTACCTGGTTATTAAAATTCTACGGGTACATAATTTATTAATTCTAATAAGGTTTATACCAGTATTTATCAAATTAAATAAATTCGTACTTTGGGTAGATTTATTTTAGTATATAGTTTATACAGGGTGCCCCACGAAGATTACACCTTTTGCAATATCTCCTAAGATAATAGAGATAAAAAATATTATTTTTTTATTTTTATTAAAAGAATATTTACAACAAGGATATAGAATACAAATATTTATATTTAAATTAACATATTTTGGTAAACAAATTTTTTAAAATATCTTTATTTTTTAAAATGTTTAAAGGTTAAAAAACAAAGTGTACAATTAATTACCCATAATAATAATAATAATAGTCAATCGGCAAATGCGATTACAAACTGCTACATTATTATAGATAATCGGAATAGTAATTAATATAATATTTGAGTAATATTTATAAAAAAAAAAGAGACTTTTATTATCTTTTTTATTATCTTTATGATCTCCGAGGATATTTCAATGGGTATATCCTTGTTGAAGACCTTGTATTTGTATTTAATTTTGTACCCATACAGAATTTACTTTTCTTTATCATTTTTTGTTGTTAGGTATTTTTTTAATTACCTCGTTGAGAGAAGCGTCACATATGTAACACATATAGATGAATTGTCCTATAATGACTATCAGTTCAAAAAGAAGTGAAATATAAAGCATAGTATTCAACATTATTTCGCATCGAACAACAACCTGCCATATTATCATGTATGAATAAAGCAAGAACTGTATGTAAATGTTCGTCGTTATAAGTAAAATTTCTGGTCCAAAAGTATCTGTCATTGATTCAATGTAATCCTCCAAAAACCAATGATCGTTCATTAATTCTATCAGTCGTGTTGCTCGATTGTAGTTCGACTGCACGTGATAAATTTCTTCCAATTCCCTACAACAGAAAAAAAATTTGGTTAATATTAAAAATTACCTATTCATAAAATTCATCCGTTCATTCAAACATTTATATGGCTATTGATATTTTTTGATTATGCCTGCCATATGATTGCTTTATTGACAGTTTATATAAAGAAATAATTATTGATCTTATATGTATATTTTTTTTTGTCGATTATAGGTATACTATGATTAAATACTATCTGTCCCACCCATCGCTGTTGGTGCCAAATTATTTTCAAATTTTGTTTTACCCATTAAAAACAGAATTTTTAATAAACCGAAATCGATAGTAGACATTTTATTTAACGTATTTACAATTTAATTTAATTCTGATACCACCCCAATCCCCATCCTCAACAATAGTTAATTACAATAAATTAGGCAGTAACAAAAATATTGACAAATAATATCTATGTTTTGATTTCATCTATGTCGCCAAGGTAACCCAAAAATCAAAAAAAAAATTCAATCATTGTTCCAATAAGAACCAAATCCCTTTATGGATTGAATCTCAGGAATCCGGCTTTGTTATGTACATGGTCACAGTATCACTGAAAACAGGGTATAGACCTGGTCAAGAAAAGACCATTTTTTTTATTAAATATATTAATTATATTGATTTAATTGATCTTTAGCTAATATTTATTTGCACCTAATACAATATTTTATATAGATATACTTATATTAGTTATTTCTATCACCCCTATAGAAATGAAAGTTTAAAAATCCGACTTCGGAATGAATCGGATATTCCACACAAGGATGTACTTATAAATAATGTGTACAATAAAAGCATACATCGTGAAATAATTGTACACTATTGAATAATATAATTCAATCTGACCTATTAATATCTTCGTACGAGTTTTGGGCGACGACGCACAAGACACTCTTGAGAAGGATTATGGACAACGGGACAAATTTGGTTAAAACAAAGGGATAGAAGAGTTCCGGATACTTCTGGGGAGTGGACTTGATGGTCATGATAATCTTGACGATGAAGACGAACATTAATAGAACGATGAAGAACATATTTGGCGTCAGCCAGTGACGTGGGTACCGGTTCCTCAACAACAGTCTGGCGGTCATGTTAAGCACGTCGATGGATTGCGGTAACCGGGCTAACACTAGGGACACGACGATTGGATTGATTACCATGTTTGCCAACAACGATCCGAAAACGGAACAGTAAAAATCCTTAGAACACTCGATCTTTATCCTCTGGTTTATGGTTTTGATCAAATAGAAAGACATTCGGACGAGCGACCAAATCTGGAGCAGCAATTGTGCCGTCCATAAGGCCAATCCAGCTTTGCTCACGTGGAAGCAGCCCACGCGCACTGCAAATATAAACAGTCGGTTTAACATTTTTACAAAATAATTTTATTATTCTTACCATTTTCGTGTTTTTTCCCAAAAAATTGTATCGAATTATTGTACGTATTTTTTTTACTCGTCGTATAACTCAACGGTAAAATTCCTAACAATACACTGATGTAATAAACAGGAGCTATTGCAGTCAAAGCATTTAAATGAAACGGCATTATTATTATTCTTACAATTATTATTGTTTAACAATATTATGTATTTCCTAAGTATGTATATCTAAGGCACACTACCGAATAAACTCTCAACTCCCAGCATTTCATACTGAATAATTATTTAGAATAGTCAATTATTATTATATTTTACTTTTTGACGAACAAACTATACATGGTGGTGTAATTTTGAGTGACTTCGACCTGTCGGGCATTAACTACTGAACAAATTAGGAACTGTCTATACATATATTATTTCTTATAGAACAATGGTGTATTATATACTGTTCGAAACCGCATTTTGTTTTTATACCTAGTCCTTATTACGATATTAATATTAATGTACCTATTGATGGTGACGTTAACATGCAGTGAAAAGACTATAATTTTAACGGGTCATGGCCCGCTAAAATTATAACAATATGAATAGGTATAAAATGTACCTATAACTGTAGCTAAATATAATAAAAAAGCCTAAAATAAATATCTATTATTAATATTTATGTATGTACTTTTTTGTTTGTAAAATTACATGATTTTGTGACTTCAGTGGCAATGCCTTTTTATGTATTTATAGACCTATTCAAGTTTGAACACAATAATTTTATAATTGTTATAATTTATTGAAAATTAAGCTGTAATATTGCTTCATCAACACTAACAAATGCAACTAATGCAAGGTTAAAATAAACAGTAGTGTGACAATTGATTTTTAAAGTTGCGCAAAATTATTTGAAACACACAACACGGGATTTTACAAGTTTAAACAAAAATAAATTGTTTGATTTGTTCGAAATCAATATTTATTTCGATTATATGCGCTCGTAAAATTGTTTATGGTTTACATACATAAATTCTACAAGTCCGTCCCAATATCAATCCATGTATCGTATATTCTATGATCCTCTTGTATTTTAACAATAAATTATTCATTATTTTCTTAATATCTAGTGTTTGCGTGTAAAAGACACAAATTTGATTTAAATTCACCGCGCATTCTTGCAAACAATTTCTAATAGCCATACAATAGGGACTTAGTTTGAAAACAAACCAACCGTAGACATTTTTTTGTTTAAAAATATGTAACTTTTAATTACAAAATTTATTGTTATGGGAGAGATGTGTATAGATAAAGGTACTTAAATTTTAAAATACACTGTATCCAAAATAAACTATTTATATTCAAACATAATTTTAGCTTGCAATATTATAATATGTATTAGTAGCAATTGACTGAGGTAACTCAAGGCAAGGCCACGAGACACATTTATACCGCAGAACAGGCACACCAGACGAGGAATTCATTTCTAAAATGTTTTTGTGACCCTCCACTTGAAATTGAGTCAGCACAATAACATATGCCAATATACCGCCGATCATATCGCTTAAAACATTTGACAAATTTAATCATATAAAAGACGTCCTAGGATAATGGGAACAGACACTGTTATAATAAAATAAATAATAGACCCTACATATTTTCTTTAATAATATTTGTTTAATATTGTACCGATTTTCACGGTTTACCTTCATTTTTCTCGACTTTCCTATGTTTTTTCCGAGTTTTTCACATTTTCTGGGAAAACTCTTAGGAAAATCAAGAAAATTAAAAAATAACCTCTTTAAAGTGCCTCCCTAGTGAAATTTACTTTTAAAAATATTGCTCTCATAAAAGTTAGAGCGAAGTTGCTGGTAGAAAAGTTGTCCACAGAAAAATAATATTGTAATATTATATAAATATATTTCGTACATTTTTCCGTTTTCCTTCCGTTTTTTCGGTTTTTCGCATTTGATGAAAAAACCATTGAAAAAATCGAAAAATAACCACCCCACCCCGATTTTCTTTCAGAAAAGGTGCAACACGTAAAATCCAAACAAGTCTTCTGGTAGAAAAGTTGCACATAGAAAAAAAAAAAACAACGTCGTTATAAAACCATAAGCTTCTTCGCTTCACTTAGAATCTAAAATATATTCAGAATCTCACTGCAAATAGAAGGGATAGATTTATATCGAAGTATTCAGATGACGAAACTTGTACTTTACGACTATTTATACGTAGCATGAATAACCTTAAAAGGAAAATCCATAAAAAATTACATTTCATAAAATAACTAAACTGTTCTCGATAACGAAATAAAAATAACAAGGTGAATGAAATGTACCCACTCCCTCAGTCACTCGGTCACTCCCGCGAAGTAAAAATAACGAGAAAGTAAAATTGGTCTGTTACCGTTAACGAAATTTTACTTTGCGAAATTGCCCCCCCCCCCCACATACGTAAGATTTGAACCACGATCATAATATGCTAGTATTTGCCATTCCGATAAAAACAATAGTAAAATAATAATATTAAGAATAATGGGCTTTTCTTAAGTTTTTTTATATCATTAGCAGGCAGAGAGAATTATATCCGGCGATAACATTTAAGATAAGACAGTTAATCAGTAATCATAATAATCGTAAAAAGGTATTAAAAAACTTTGTGTAATTACAGTCTTATATAATATTGTGGTAAAACTCGCCTGTCAGTGGCTTTTACCGCGAAATTTTACCCTCCCAAGATAAAATTTAAACCGTGACCATATGCTAGCATTTTGTCATTTTGGTAAAAACAATTATTTTTATTTTAATAAAATAATAATATCAAGATTAATAAGTTTTTTCTAAGTTTTTCAGTTTGTTACGGGCCGTTCGGACACAGCGATGAGAAGATGTACACGAATGGTTTTTTTATTTGAATTTGAACAAAACATAGTTGACAAATTTTATCTATAAGTGAATAACCTGCGACACCAGCTCCAGGTCAAGACTTAGTTGTGATTATCAGGTATAACTACACTAAATAAATAACTGGACGGGTTGGTGTCAAGGTGACCGTGCTCCTCCCTCTCGTGCGTCGGTGGTGGTGTAGCTGTCTTAACTCCTGACTGAATTCAAGTACTCCTTTGGTGATGAATCCAGTCTCCTTATGTATGGTTGTCGCCTCGGTCGGGGTGTAGGCGGTGGTGAACGCTGCCGCCGTTATCTACAGGTCTTCCGTACCCGGACACGTTTTCCCTTTGGCCCATGAACATGTATCATCCGTTGTTGCGGGTGATCGAGTGGAAATAGGGAAGTGTGTGGTCATTATTCTTACAACAAATATACTGTTATACTTATATACTAATTATACTTTATTTTAATTTATTAAAATTCACTTATTTATTATTTGTATAAGGTAGTAACAGTTAACTATTTATTTTATAATTTTAAAGTGAATTGGATGTGGAATTGTCCAACGGGAAAACGAGGACGACGAAGATATGTCAAACGGGGAAACGGAGGCAGGAATGTAACTTGCTACCTATTTATCTTATATGCATGTCTTCTAAATTATATGTTAAAGCAAATTTGACCATAAAAAATGCTTATTTATTTGATATTATTCATACATTTTTATAAATTCTAAAATGATATATATTATTATTTTATCAATTTTTCTCATTAGCCGTTCTCGCACAAATTCACGCTAATTTTTGGAAGAAAGGATATGAATATACGAACAGATTATCTTTAACTCCATAGTGTTTCACCTTATTCTTTGCTCCATTGTGCATTGTTTTTCGTGCTTTAGGTGGTATTCGTCATCAAATGTACTACCACAAGACAAGCAAAAAATATTGATGCCGGGGATTGTATTGTATCTAATAAGGAGTAAAATATATTTAAATTTTAAATAGGTACATAATTAATATGAGTCTAAATTTTTTTTTAAATATGCGTTCTTTATAAATGAAAGTTAGACAATTTAAAGATTTTACTTAGCTCAACTTAAAATACGTAAATACTTAAACCTTATTTAACGTTACCTCGTCCAACCCATCAAACATAATCCAAAATTGAATTATTTTCAAATTCATAACCCCCTCCCACTCCGAAAATAAATCCTGGTTGCGCCACTGAGGAAGGAGAGTGGTTAAGTGCACGTTCATTGCTATGCAAAAAATATTTAACTACAAAATGACGGAGCCGAGTGATCACCAATCACGGGTGTTTTATTTTATGTAGGTATGTTTATTTAACGTACTTAACCTAAATATTATAGTCATTTTTTCGTAATGCTTCATGGTTTTATTATCATTTCTGGTCTAGTTATATTATGTTTATGATAATTATTCTTACCGTTTTTATGTTTTTTCCCGATGAATTGTATTGGATTTCTGTACACGTTTTTTTTACGTGTCGTGTAACTCAATGGTAAAATTCCGGACAATTTACCTATGTAGTAAATGGGCGCTATTGTAATCAGATGATTCATTCGAAACGACGGCATTTTTTTTTTTTTTTTAACCCCGATGAGGTTTTCATCTAAATATTAGCATGAAAATTGTTTAAAAATGTGCAAAATAAAGCTTATGAATTAGGAGAATAACTATTAGTACACCGAATGTAATATATGAAACACTAAATACTTGTATAATTATATTATGTAATTTTATTTCAATAATTTTAGAAAAAAAAGGTAATTTACAATTATTTTTATAAAAAATAAAATATTTATATAATAATATTCAAACTAAGTTTATTTGAATAATGCAAAAAATAAAAACGAATTATATTTTGCATATGTAATATAAGTATAACAAATAAATGTATAATATTTATCTATTTAAAAAATAATGACAATAATAACTTAAACATAGCTAATAATAATATAACTGTTAAGAATAATAAATTGATTTAACATTATACCTGTCAATAAGCTAAAAATCATAGTTAAGAAATCTAAAAACAATATTATCGTCCATAAAAAAATTAATAATATTATATAAATAACAAGGAAATCCCCACCCCACAAAAAAAAACCCAAAAATTAAATATTTATTAATAATTATTATCTATAACATTTAATTGTCTATATTTTATTACATTATTTTCTCATCAAATAAATTCTAAAGTTACATAAATTGTGCTAATAATAATTTATATAAGTCTTCTGAATTCATTAAATTATAATATTTGATTAATGTACAATTTTGCATACTTTTATACTTTTTATAATTTTGCCTATTATATATTCCCTGAACATTTTTCCGGTGTTTTTATTTATCTAAAATTATACTATATAAGATATCTAAACAATAATCTTGTATTCGATTCCAAGATCTTCAAAATAAAAAAGGAACATTTTACCAAATTCTTTAATTTTAAGGAATACCATGATGTAGGAAAATGATTTAGTTTATCCATTCCTACCATAGTGTTTTCTCATGATCCTCGTGTATTTTGTTGAAAAAATGATCCTGAGTAAAAATTAGGATTATATTGTAATAAAATCTTATAATTCTTATTTTCTTCTATGTTGACTGGGACGCGGTGATTCAAAAACGTTACCGCAATTTATAATGCGTTAAATATTTAGTATTTATAATAAACAATCAAACACTACATAAAATAATTACTAGTTCTAAAAATAATATCATCTTTTAGTTACTTCTAATTGTTATATTTTTTGAACGGATAATTGTATTATGTCGTATTCAATAGTTTATTACAAATGCAAAATATAATACAGTATATAGGTTGAAATTCCGGCTTAAACCACACTAATTTTGCAATTTTTTGAAAACAATTTTTATAACATTTTTATCTGTGGTTAATTAACTATCTAACTGTAATAAATTATAACTATAACATAAAATATATGCATACGATAAATTTCAAATTTAATAAATTTTCGTCCTGTCCTGGCTACCGTGTGCTGATAGACTTAATATCATTTAATAAGATTTTGGTAACTCCATATAATATAATATATTACAGCGTATGACTTACATGCAGGTCAAACTCTTAAAAGACCATGTAGAGCTATATATATATATAGACTGTAGACACACAGTGTGATTGTGTATTAACAAAGTAAAAATATATCGGGCTACACGCTAGTATTGTATTGCTTAAAATACTTATATTTAAAATCGATACAATTTGTATTATTTTTAATATTATATAAGACGTTAATTAAATATCCTAATAATAATAATATAATATTTTTTACTTTGCACTGTATTATGCAACTATGGGCTATTATACTGCAGTGTTCGCGATCATCTTTTAGGCGAGGATATTAAGATAAGTTTATTGTTTTCCAACCGTGGCTGACAATTGGACAGATGTTCGTATGCCAATTTCATTCGTTCTAGATTGATTTTCGACGCAAAGACATGATCGATGATCGGCAAAGGGTAATCGATACCAATAATACAATTAGCAGCAAACTGTATAGTCTTTGGCGCCAACCATGGCTCGTGAATATACTTGGTAGGCATATTTTGCAACACCGGAATATATCTTCTATATAAATGTCAAATACAAATATAATATTTAATAAGTGTTAATTAATTAGTCATATAACCTCTAAACGTATTTTAAACGTTAGTCAGTTAATACTTAATAGTTAGTATTAAAGATATAATTCGTTAACCGTTACAATATACTTATCAGCATCAAACGTAATAAAAAATCGATATGTGAAAAAATATTATGACCGTTGAAATTTTGGTTATTCTGGAACTTTTTCCATAGAGGCAAAGTGGTTCGTTATAATCATAGACCTCAAAATACCATCAGGTAACAACGCGACCCACAATTCGCTTTTGAATTATCACACACCTCTTAATAACGTGCTACCTCCAGGGAAAGAAGGGGTACAAAATTAAAAACATGAAATTGCATTATTTTTCTTAATATTATGAAACCTGCAACGCATTGCAATCCTCGCTGTGTTTGATAATCTAAAACACGAAAATTGACCGAAAAAAATGTATAGTAAAATAATATATTTTAATACACGTGGTCTGTATACTTTACTTCGGAAAAAAAAGGCAATAAAATATAAATAAATTTTCAATACCTTATATAATCACCGTTCGGGTCTGCTTTACGTCCAAACCTAATGGGACAATAGCAATGAATGAATTCTTGAAAAAATGACGAACACGAATACCACATCCACGATCCCGCATTCACCGACCAATCGGCGTCCAATAATAGTTCTTCGAATACCTAAAAAAAATAACGGTAAGCTATAGATTGATCTGGTGCAGACTTGGTGAGTCACCGGTCTTGTGAAATAATTACACATATTTTTAATGGTATCGAATCAAGTCTATATTGATTAATAAATATATTTAATATATGGGGACAAGAAGATTGAGCCTATGTGCGGGCGACGGTCCCGGGCTCATCAGTGACGATTTTTAAAATAATAATGGAATGTTGTACCTAACCATATTAGAGGCAAGGGAATTCAAACAAGTGACGTTCATGGTCCGTCGTTGACTTGGAGAGACATGGCCTAAACAGGCACGTCTCATGAGTAACGATTTGATGGCCATGAGAACGGCTGTTTTAATAGTATCTGCCCAGCAGATTCAGAGTACAAAAGAGGATGTACCAGTGGCAGCTTTTGGTCGGCAGTAACCATTTGGCGGTCAGCAGCAGGGGCATCAGCGGCAGCGACTATTCGTCTGCTTCTATAGTATGGGTCGTTGGCAGGCGATTGGCAACATGCACTTTGTTGTTTGTTACATAAGGAAAGACTTAATGAGTTTTATAATGTGCACAAGAAGTTCCGTGATTTACCTATGTTTGTAAATGATACCTTCGTGCTACATACAGTTGTAGGCCATTTCCATATCTAAAAATTGTACGGTGGTGTATTTCTTTTCTCTTTTGTTTGTTTTGATTTTCTGAACAAGTCTAATAAGTTGTGTGAGCGTTGAGTGACTTTCTCGGAAAGCGTGTTGTTATGGTCTGGGTTTTATGTATTTCTTCAGATAATCATGGATAATTTTTGGAATATTTTTAATATGAAACTCATGAGTGATATCAGTCTGCAGTTTTCCGATTTTAAATAGTTTTCATTGGGTTTTGAAATCATTACTATTATGACATTTTTCCATTTTGTTAGAAAATAAGATGTTTGAAGAATTGAAGTATGTGCTGAATGATTATATTGTCTATTAAGTATCTTAGGGCCAAGTTTGATATGTCGTCATGTCCGGGTGATTTGCCAGTTGATAATTTGTTAATGATGGCTTTGATTAGCTTTAGCGAAATAGAGTTGTTATGGTGCAGTCTTGATCTATTTCTGCTATTGATTGAATTGATTCTTGTATATCTTCTCCTATGTCGTTTATGAACTGATCAGCCATTATGTCCACGAATAGTTGTTTTTCTATCTGTTTTGTATTTTTGAGCCCTGTTGTTGTTTTTAGCGGTGGCTCTGCACCGCTGTTTTTTATTCAAGAGGCGGCAGTTTAGTTAGTAAAGTGATTTGTTTTTGAAGTTTAGTATTTCTGTGAAATTTTCCCATGCTACTTGTCTATGCTAAGTTAATAGCTTTTTGATATATTTTATTTACGAGTTATACAGCTTTTTTATGCTGGTATTAATTCACGTTTTATAGAAAAAAATGACCTTCTTAAAGTACCATGTAGGTACAATTTTCTTCCATAAAAGATAGTATACTTAATACATCGGAGCAAGATTTCTGGTACAAAAGTTTGCACAACAAATCGAGAGGTAATTTTCTATTAAAATAGTCTGAGCGAACGACGTCTTGGGTCTTTAGGTCCAGCCAAATTGCAATTTGAAGACTTTAAATCAATACGAGCTATATGCCATTCATTATTGCCAGTTAATTTTTAATTATTTCCGTTATAACCTCACCAGCGGATAGTGGTCTCCTAACCATAGCTCTAACGTCATTTTGTTAGACCTTGTAAATACTACTATTGTGGTTGTGGCACATAACGCCTTTAATAGGTTGTGGGCGTTGTTTTATAGCTCAGGTTTTTAAATCTCAATGAATATTTTTGTTTTGGTACTTGGCATATTATTGATTTCAAGTTTTCATTTGTTTCTCTCAATTTAGAAAACAGGGAAAAACCAAATGCAAAACATTTTTCTCGGAATTCAGGTTTGAACCTGCCGATCTCTGGAATAACGACAGTTAAGTACAACCAGTAAACTACCTCTTGTTAAATTTCCAAGCATTTCTATTTAGTCTAAACATTTTACCATAGAGTATCTTCCAAATAAACATAATAATAAACACCATTGTAAACCAATGCATTCCTTTCTACGCTCAGAATCTACAATGTATTTTAACTCTAAATGAAACATTTAATGGTTCGATTAAATATCGTAAATTATCTATTCATCTAGAGATGAATAGATAATTATAATAATATTATAATAGATATTAATTAATAAAATAATTTATTAATTTTTTCTAAGATAACCATAACTAAATTATTTGCTAAAATATTATCAGCAAAACTAATTACATTAGTAGGTACCAATTCAAATTAAACCAAAAAAACTATTAGTCAATATTATGAACAATAGTGGACCCTAAAACAGTTCCTTGTGAAATACCATGAGTAATTGGCAAAAATGTACTTAAATGTATAAATCTATGCATACGAGACGTATGTCATCGATATTACCACTGACCTATATAGGTAGGTTATCTTACCTTCATTCCTTCTTCCCAAGATAACCACAAATCACCCCTAGTGAGAAAACACGCGACGGCATGTCTCGCAATACAATGTATCCAGCCTTCTTTCTTTAACTGTATCATAATCGCGTCGATCCACGGGTAACCGGTTTGACCCTAAATATTATAATATTGTATTTTTTTATAATATGAACGTTAAATATAAGGTAGCTACTCGCCTTTGCCCATTTCGATAAAGCTTGGGGATTTTTATCCCACGGTATTTGCATACAAATTGGGTTCCCGACCATTCGATCGAAGTTTGGATTGTTAGTGGACGCACAATAAAAAAAATCCCGCCACAACAATTGACCGTATAATGAAAGCGGCGGTCGTGATTTTCGCATCTAAATTACGGTACAATTAAATTGGATATAGTGATATAATAACTATAATTTAATAAGTCGAGTGAAGAATTGCTGTTTTTACCTTCTGATAGAGGCTGTTTAACTCGGAATAAAACAATCTAGTAGACAAGCATCCGAACCTTAAATACGGCGCGAGACCGGTGGGACTGGCCAGTAAAGATTGTGGTGTCATTTTCGGTTTTCCGTAAGTCGCGATGAACGCTTTCCGTTCCAAATGACGCTGTAACCTGATCAAAGCCTCTATCTCGCCTCCTTTCCATATATGATTAGAAACGTCATTCATTTCTTTGAATCCTGTTCGTAAAAAAAAAACCAAACCAAACAATAGTTTATAATATAATATATTGTATACAGTTTTCGTCTGTGATCTCATTTATTATTTACATTCTGGTCGAAGCAAGGAATGTATATTAATTTTACTATGATGGTATATGAATGTGACTATGATGTATGTGTGTGTGTGTGTGTGTGTATGTGTGTGTGTGTGTGTATGTGTGTGTGTGTGTGTTTTCTTTTGTATTTATAAATCCATAAGTTATTTTTCTTCCAAAAATCTTGCTCTAATCAAAAATTTAAGAAACATAAGACCTTTCTTGTACAATTTTTAATTTAGTTAGTATATTGAGAATGTCATTTTTTGATTTTCCTTGTTGTTTTCTTCATACATTGTAAAAACTGACAATTTTGGTATAATTTTTGTTGATTTCTAGGTTACCTTGACAACAAGGCAAAATATACAACTTATAATACTTTGTTCTCTAACAGCACCGAAATTCCCAGAAAATTCGATGATTTAAAACGGTACAGTAGGTCTACAGTAGGTTCTATTATTGAGTAGGACTCAAATTAGGTAGCAGGAAATATTAAAAGTGCAATTACCTTCATGAATGTGGGTAATTTTCCTTATCATTGAGAGTGATTGTATTCCTATTCGATATTTTGTGTGTAATTTATAAATAATGTATACATTTACTTTGTACTTAAAACTGAATCGCATATTTTACATTTTTTCCCCAATGTATTATAAAAGCATTTTGCTTATCAGCTTTACACTACGCGATTCGTACATTGCGTTTTGCCTCGTTTTTCTGCAGTTTATTCAATATTTCTCTGCTATATTTTTTTTTTAATTTCATTTTCTTCATACAATTTTTTTTTTTTTTTTTTTGAAGAGGGAATGGGAGGTAAGATTTGAAATCCACATGAATTTTATAGAAATAAACTTTTTAATTTAGTTTTGATAGTAGATAAAAATCCTTCGAACAGTAAAAAATTTTCAAGAACTTACCATTGAAGTCTACATTTTCACGCTTATCGAATTTCTTATAGGTCACACGGTTATATATATGAAAAATACGTTGGATAAAAACTCAAAAACCGCGACTAATAATCATATTTAGGAATATCGAACCTGGGAATCCGATTTAACATGATCCAAAACACCTAACGTCCTAACAAAAGGGTGGTAACCCTTTATTTTCATTAATTACGTGATATAGATATAAAGTAAGATGATTTTTAACATTTTTTTTTTTTTTTTTATAATTACCTAGGTCGCTAAGTGAAGGAACGCCAAATATTTCGTCATGGTCAAATCTGATTGGCGTGTAAGCACCTCCGAGGAATTCGAGATCTATATTCGGTACAGCACAATCTGGTGGATCGATACACTCCAATAGTGTTTGAAACAAATGATATGTTAATGGAGCTTTCCCATTGTTTATATTTATTATTCTGCATCACAAAATATTAATTTGAAAATAAATAAATAAATTCTAATCATAGTATTTAATATATTATTATGTAATAGTTAGTCATAAAAAATAAACCTATATGTTTTAAGACCTAAAATTGATTTTATAAGTAAACCTAACTTAATCTAACCCTTAAGTTATAAAGAGGGGTGGTCAAATGGGTGGGATGAGAAGGACATATCCGTTCTATTAATCAATTTTCTTAAATATTTATTAAGTGATTTTTTAGGCATGCTCAGTGCTAATCCCATTTGTATGCTTAAATAATGAATATATTCAAATTCTGATATTTTAAATTGTTTGTGTAGCGGAAGAACATATCTACTAAGATTTTAATTTTAGCTAATACTTAGATTATTCACGATGATTAAGTAAAATCTTGTGACAATACCAACTTTAGGTTTTTAAAATGAGAACCTATATGTTTTAATGCAAACTGTCCATTTTTAAAATTTTTTTGAAAGTGTTGACGTATTTTAATCGAAATTTGAACGAAAAATATTAGTTATTCTACTTTAAATACAAAAGAATAATAACTGCATGATTCAAAACAAGAAATTATTTATACACATAAAACAGTTGATTTCCAATTCTCATGAAAGACTAATATTATAAGTATTTAAAGCAGAATAACTTTTAGTTCAAATTTCGTTTACAATACGTCATCATTTTCAGATAAAATCATCTGCTTGATAATGTAAATCTAAACGTATTGGTTCTCGTTTGAAAAATTTAAATTGTTATTACCATAGGATTCCTTAAATGTTGTGAAAATCTAAGTATACCAAAATATCGTCGTTCATTGTACTTAAAAATTCCAAAAATTATTATTTGAATTTAGGCATAGGTAATTTAACCATTCAATAATGGAGTAAACGTGCTTAAAATATCATCCTATACATTATATTATATTTTCATACCTGGTTATAATTACAATTTATATTGTATTAAAAATAGATTTTTTTTTTTTAAATCGTAATACTCTCAACTTGCAACGCTATCAACACTCTGAACTCCGAGGAAAAATAAAACTTCATAAATCATAATTATTTACCTTATATTTTAAATTAAATTGTGAGTATTTCCATTGGCGAAATTACGGTATGGACCAAATAAGCCCTGACCCAGGCTAATATGAATTTCAGAGTGAAATACGTTTTTTAAAAGCACGAAACAAAGATTCAAGTGATTCGGGTGATTCTTGGCAATCAATAAAAACTGTACATTTTGGTTAAAATGGTATTAAGACCATTTTTTTTTAACACAGAAAAGCTTTAAAAGTTTTCTTCATAATACCTGTCATAAGTATTTCATTTGAAAGTAAACTCATGTTAAAACTAAGCTACGAACGACAATGACTGAAGAACGATTGGAAAATTTAATGCTTCCGTACATTGAGCAAACCATGGCAAAAAATGTCGACACCAATGATGTGATTGAAGAATTTAAAGAATGGTCTTATATAATCCCATTTGAACGTCGTTTAACTTTATAAATATTAACTTTAAGGTAAAAATTAAAATGTATTTAGTATATCTATTTCACATGTATGATTTAAGTTTAAATCACAAATTACACAATTTTAGATTTATATCATCAATAATTACTTGTGTTATAACTTTTTATTGTAATGAAAATCATTGGTATTCCCTATCACTCTCTCCCCTATTTACTTTAGATATGTTAGCCTATTACACTACTAGATATTACTTAATAATAATATTAGGATCGCAAATTTAAATATAAATCTGAATAACTATAGTCCAAACACAGTTTTAGAAAATCCTATCTTTGATAGGTATAAAATAATTCTCATGAATTGAGTCATTGAAAATAAAAATGTCTAGTTTCGCCTATGATTGTTTCTTTTTTTTTTTTTAAGCATAGACAAGTTTCACTCTACAGCTTGTACTTATAACCTATACGACGGCCAAAATAATATTCACTTTTTTCAGTTGTATCCCATAAAACTATACGCGGAAATAATATTTTTTACCTTTTAAATGATGAATTTATATTTATTTGAATTCTTTGTTTGTATGTATTTAATATAAATATTACTAACTTGTCTAATTGATATAAGGTGTGTGAACAACGTTTAATCACAGAAATTCCCATTTCGTGGCACATAACCGTTATATTTTGATCTCTCACTCGACCGTAAGGTTCGGGGTCTTCTTCGAATGTGAAGTTTGTCGTTCCCCATAACTAACGAAAAATAACATCCAACATAAGTACTTAATATTATAACCAGACAAAACAAAAATAAGTATTAGGTAATAATTGTGAGATGGACGTCTAAATTTTTTCAAATGTTTAACAGGCTTAAAACAAAAATAATCATAATATGAACAGATGCCATATTTCTGCACTTGTGAAATTATTAAAGTTAAAATTACACTGCCCAAAGGAATGAAAACAAGATTATATTAATCACGCATTAGATCTAATAGTACTGTATGCATGTGGATAGCGTGGGCATCAACAAGTTAGAAAAAAAAATGAATAGTAATATTTGAGATGCATGTCATACGTTTAATATAACGGTTCCAAAAGTTAATATAAACCCAAAAGAAATAAGCAGAATACCATACAAATGCAGAACTGTAAACAATGTTTGATAAGCCACGGTTAGAGTTCTCAAAAGTCGAACAATAATTGTATAAACCGAACACGTTTGGCGGATGGAAGGTCAACTAATATGTAAAAACACAATATAAAATTCAGATAAGAAAATACTAATACAGGGAAAACATCGATCCTCGAGCCCTTAAGAATAGGAATGTCAAATATTTATAGCCAAGGACAAAGATGTATGGAAAAACGTAATAGACTACAAAGGCTATAAGTTATAATAGGTAAATAAGCTAAAAAAAAAAACCATTATAAATAATAATTAATATAATAATAATAAAAAATATTACACTTCAACTCACTTTGAACAATTTGGGCAACGCTTCAGCCGGCTGTCCCTTAATTACGAACAGTCGGGAATTTAGTTTTTTCAGACTGTTATCTAAATCTACCAAACACTCCAACAGAAATCTATTACAATAAAACAATGTTGTACATCAACCGTTTGCTGTACAGACTACCACGATAGTAGTTACTGCAGTGAATAATACCATTACCAAAAACAGTTTGTTCGCTAAACTATATAATTGCTTAAAACAAGCCTATTATAACAATATACCGACCTCCATTTGTTGATGCCGCTGTTTGACGCTCCCGCAAACCAAGGGTCCAGTATGAAAATGCACCGAAATGTGGTTGCATCCACCAGCCCTTCCCGCAGACTAGGATTGTCGTGCAGCCTCAATCCCTTTCGAAACCAGTGTACGGTGTGTTTGTTTTTCGGTTGGTCCATCACAAGCCTGCAGTAGAACGTCTATAAAAATACGTTTATCGTATGGTTTATTCAAAACGATTGACAAAGAAAGGTGCAACACTTGCATAGGCAGATATACTTATAATTATAATATTGAATATATTGTATAAAAGAAAAAATATCTTACGAGTTATGACACGTGATCGAATGACTGCAAGGATAGTTATAGACAATAGAGCATATATACCTTACCTATTAGTGCAATTGAACTGGTTCAGAGTGTGTGGGTCATCTAAGATATTTCGTATGAAAAAAATTTAATATGAGTTATTAAAATAGGTAAAATTAATAAATGAGTAACTGTTAATATGTGATTCAGATTAGACTATACTGGACTGAACCTTACAAATAACAAATTTTGAACTGTTAACTGCAGTTATGGTAATTAAAACATTCAAACAGCCATTGATCTCATTACGAAATTACTTAACATTTTAAATCAATATATGAAAATACAAAAAAATGTGCTATAAAATGGATATCAAAATATCTGAAATCAAAAGAAAAAAACGTCTAAAAATTCAGAAGATAAATTAAAATCATACACATATTTTTTGAATTTCAGAAGATTTGTGCTGTGAATTTTATCTTGTATGAATCTACTGAAAATACACCAAGAGATACAAACTCAGATGCTGTACAAAAATGACCCAATGGGTTTAAACAATATTATAGACATAACATTTTTTTAAAAAAATGTCACTGTCTTAAAATGTTTATAACAATTCCAATTACTAGTTAAAGCTGTGAATGTAGTTTTTCAAAACTCAGCATTATAAAAAACAAATTAAGAAGTACTATTTTATAAGAAAGATTGATACTTTTTTTTTCTTTGTAGAACAAGAATAATTATTAACATTGATTTTAATAATTTTATTGATCAGTTTAAACATTTACTACTTAGTAATCACAGACATATTGTAAGTCTATTTATTTTTATTTATTTATTTATTTATTTTATTTTTATTTTATTTTTATTTTATTTTTATTTTATTTAATTACTAAGAGTTTCAATACTATGAAAAACCTATAAACATTGTTAATCATCATATGATTTAAATTTTATAAAATAAATATTTGAATACTTACATCTTCGTGAGACAGCCTGTATTATTCTCCATTAATGACAAAGAACATGATTTAATATTTTCAGCTAAAAAATAAAAACATAGTTATTCAGTTTTCATTCATAGTTTATCAATATGTTTAGTTTATTACTTTCATTAATCTCTGTAAATTTCGAATTATTTAACTGTAACTCTGTAGATAAAAGTAAATTGTCTTCATAATCATTAAATTGTGTTTTAATAAATACGTTTTTGAATGTCGTACAATCTTCTTGCGGAAAACGTTTTGCATTTTGATTATCTGTTAATAAAACATACAAATTATTTTAAATTGCAAATTCCAGTTTTTACAAAATAAATTGATAAGCATGGGTGTGTCATAAAATTGTATTTTCAAACGAGATGAAATAAGAAAAATTTGGCTTCCTTCTATACAATCATACATTAAGAATAGTATACCTAACTATTTAATCTGTGATTATAGGTAGGTATACATCACAATATATTGTACACTATAGTCACTAAATATAGCTTGAATTTTATCGAACAAATAAATATTAAATACGAGTAAATTTATACTACGGAATAATACTGTAAGATTTAATAAATATATAATAATAAAATATTTAAATTTAACTAACTAGAACTGAATTAAAAAGGAATAGTTAAAAACTGCCTATTTATCTAAGTACTATAAATATGATGAATGAATAATTAAATAATAGGTACTTGAATATAACCACCAACACAAAAAAAAACGGACATACTTCACAAGTGAGTGGACCATTGTTGTAGGTGAGAAGTTGGGAAGGTAGAGGGGAAATTTATTATATTATATATGTACGTAACGATTAACCATTGCTAACGAAAAACGATTCTGAGTGGAGTTCGATAAAGGTGGTTCTAGTCAGCCATTTACTAAGGAGTAAGAATTAAGCAACTTATGTGACAGGTATAAACGGGGCGTGTCAGTGTGTGAGAAGTAATTGAACATTAGTGTGAGTGCAGTTCAAAGCGTGACCACCAGCTTCCACATGGCCATAACACGTAAACATAACAGTAACAGGTGCCTTCATGTATCGTATTGTTATCGCAGTTACTTTTAAGTTTATCTAATTTGATAACAACATTATAAATAATATTATCTTGTTTATTTCTACAACCTACTGTTATTATACTATTCACAGTGAAATACAAATATTTTTACCTACTATATTATATTTATAGTATACAAATGTAATAATAATATATAAATTATAATAGAATTCTAGATTTTAATGGACTGAACAATGTATCGGTTTTACAAAGATGTTTATTGTTATTATTTTTATTTTTTTTTTTAAACTGTATAAAAATTCTACCAAAAATCTTGCTCCGATGTATGTATGGTATGGGTCCTTTACTGAAAAACAATTTTCTTGGGAAGGCCATTTTCATTATTTTACATTTTTAAGGTTTATGTTTTCTACCACAAGAAGCTTATGATTTTACAAAGATATTTATTTTTTTCTTTTTCTGAGCGTAACTTTTCTACCAGAAGACTTGCTCAGAGGTAACTTAAGTGTAGTAAACTTTTTGATGACTTTGATTTGGAATTGATTTTATAGAAACTATTTTTAATTATACAGAATAAATAGACCAAATATTGTTTTAGGTGAAAGTTAATTTTTGATAAAATTTTGTAATGCAAGTATAATAACTTTAGCGGGTATATTGGCGGAAAAGGGAAGCAAACCTTTTTTTTTAAATGGCGTAAAAGTGCATGGTGGAAACAGACATTTTAAATTTTGGCGGAAACGGTAAATCTACGATTTTTCTTAAGCAATGATTAATAATTGAGCAAAACCAACAAAAAATGCCGAAAATACGGGAAAATTTATAAAAATAATTTTTTTATTATTTTCAATTTTGTTTTTTTAATGTAATTGAGTTTGATAATTTAGTTATTTTTCGAATAGAAATATACCTCAGCTGTGAAGAAATTGTGACATGGGGTGGAGAAAAATTTTCTCAGCAAATCGAGGGATATTTTGCGATTAAAATAGTCGAGTGAGCTATAGCTTAGATTTCTAAATTTCTTAGATTTCTACCCAAGTAAGATTGACAAACTCGACAATATTATCAATTGAGAATATAATAACCAAATAAATAAATACTTAATTCATTAATTAAATATTTTTAATAATAATAAACGTTTTGTTGCATTATTTTTTTTATAATAATAATCACACTATTTATTACTGTCTAAATATAAATAATTAAATTAATGGGGGGGTCGACAATTTTAACCTTGTGTCCGGTGCAAAATCAAAACACTGCAACTCGCCGCGATCTTTTCGCCGCCGGTTAATAATGACCCAACGACCACTTTGGAGCAAATTTTCTTTTTCCGATCGATACTACATTTTGTTAGAGTAGTCTAGATATCTAGGAGTCATATCCAAAGTTTGGCGGTGAATGGACGAATTCCAAGCTAGTTCTTCTGTAAGAAATTTTATGGTACCAAACTACGGAGGAGACTTGTATGGGGTTCCAAACTAAATTTGTTGGCGTTAAAATCACTTTCTTGTCACTAAATCCTACTGAGGTATACTTTATCCAAAAATCAGAATGGAGTGGATATATTTAATATAAAATGAACGGTGGCAATATGATAGCATCGAAAAGTTGGCGGCAAAATGAACGGCGGCGAAGATATAGACCCCCACTCAGAATCGTTTTTGTTAGCAATGATTAATCGTTGCATATAGATATATATTTAATTCCCCTCTACATATTCCAACTTTCCACCTACAACAGTGGCACGCCTGTCTCCAGACTTATTTTACTATTTTGCTATTTAGCATTTTGCGAAAACAAAATGTAAAGTTAAATATTACTACGTAGATAATATTGTAATTGTTATTTTGTTACTGATGAAAATAAAACCATTGCTTTATATAATTAAATCATTACAATTTGGCTCAAATTTAGTTTATGGAATTTGTTCAACATTCAAACGTCCCTACTCCGGTCTAACACCAAATTTTTGGTGGTTCGGTAATCTATCAAAACTATAATATTATCCTAGCCTAATACGAATTTTTCAATATAGATACCTAATATTATAGATTATGATATAAAAAATACATATTATATTTATGTATAAACAGGTAATAATTAAGTATACGCACTTACCTTTGCGTATTATGCGATGAGCATTTTACTCGCACAGGTAAACCGACCATGGAATGAGATGAAGTGCACTAGTATGGAGTTTTATGTATTATCATAAATTATTTTTATTATTTTTTTATTTTTTCGGAACAGGACTGGACTATTGGTGATAATAATTTCAAATTATACTCGCGATGCGTACAATCACCAAACACTGCACCGCGAACGGGTGTTCGGTGAATATAATATTAAACAGGTACGCCGTACACGTGACGTAAACAAACGGTCGGAAAAGTTCTCCCGAACGGGTGGTAACGTCCAAATGGAAAAATAAAAAAAAATAAAAAAAAAAAAAAAAAAAAAAAACGCGAGACAAAAAGTGTGCGTCGGACCGACGAGCGCGGCAGACCGGCGTCGACTGCCGATCCCGCGCGCACGTTTGGAGTCACGTTGCACGCAAACCAAGTGGCTACAGTCACGTTTTCGGTGGCGTGGTCTAAAATATAATATGTATTATCGTGATTATAATAATACCGTATTATAAATTATTATTCCGGATATCGCAATTAATTATTACTATTATTACGCATCCTCGCGGTGCCGCCGCGTGACAACTGGGTGTGCTCAAGGGACAGCCGTCCACGCAATGAGTGGGGGCGTTGGCGGATCCAGACTGGGCACAGATGCACGTGCCCCCCTGTCAACGGACTACAGTTTTTATTTTTATAATTTACACCTGGTCAATTTACTGAAAGTATAAATAGCGTGCCCTTCTCCTTTGAACAATTTATGGATCCGCCGCTGGGTGGGAAGACGCTTTCAAATATATATTTGAGAGCGGAACGATGTGGGCAAATGTCCCCCTCTCAAAACCCGTGTCGCAGCTTATTTTCTTATAATAACTATCGTTGCGAACGAAAAACGATTCTGATCGGAGTTCCGTGGGAGACTAGCCGCCTGAAGTGCTGCCGGCGGCGGAATGGTAGGGCACATTAGACATTCGTCGTACAGTCGCAAAAGAAAACCCCCTTCCAAGCAGAATATTTTTATGTTTGAGCCTTGAAATTAGTTAATAATAATCTACTTTTAAATCCACTCAATTCCACTAAATCAAATAATCACTAAACAATCAAGAATACTTCATCTGAAAATGTATATTATTATACGAGAATGCAGTTAAATGCCTGCAGTTTATTATTGCATTAATATTTTTTAGTTTTACAACATATGAATACCTACACTTCATATATTTAATGATCTATAGATAATTTAATTTTGTTGGAATTCAAAAACAGATTTTTAATTCTTATCACATTTTTGTTATTAGACTATCGTGTCTATAATAACATACCGCATGGATAGAGCGACTAGGGTCATGAAGGTGAATTGGGCCAGTCTTTTGTTTTTTTTTTTATTACTATTTATTAGTACGTTATCTTAAAAAGCTAAAAATTAAAATTAACAAAAAACCTCTGAAATTTACCCTAGTCCCTAATTTACCTTCTTTACGGTATACATTTTTAAACCACATTAAAGTTAATTGATACTCATAATTTATAAACAGTGCCGTATACAGACATTTAATATGGAGGGGGTTTATCATGTTATTCATATCTAGTAATTAAATTGAGTTAACTAAAAAAAAAACACAAATAATACATATTATATAATTTTTATTTCAGATTCTGAGGGAAAGCGAGGAATGTATTAGTTTTACAATGATGTTAATTTTTTTTATCTGTGATCAACTTTTCAACCATAAATCTTGCTCTGATTTACAATGGTACTTAGCCTTTTTTTCGAAAAGAAATCTGACTGGGATATTACTTCAGAAAGGTCATTTTTTTATTTCCCCAACAGTTCTCCCAAAAAATTGGGAAAACTAGGTACAATATTAAACAAAATATATAATGCATAACTATTTAATTATTTTATCATAACGTGATTTATAAATTGTTGACAAAAGAACACTATTAACCGAACTCCGGCATTACGCTCAGAATCGTTTTTCGTTAGTTATGGTTAATAGTTATTGTACGTATTGAAGAAAGTATATTCCAACGAAAAATATACTATAAAAAAAAAACAAATGAGTGTCTCTTGAGATAATGGACCTTAGATTTATATTAAATCACTTATTTTCTTAGGTATCACAGAACCAAACTACAAAAGTGCAATTCAGAAAATGTATGTAACAATGATTCTTCACCTTCATCATCTATTTAAGGTCAGCCACCCTCGCCCTAAATTTCCACTTGACCCGTGTCCTTATATCAATATCAATCGCATTCTATCACCTCATTTTTTCGGTTTTCTCCAACCTCTATTTCCTCTATTTTTCTATGTTTATTTTCATTACTATTCCTACTGCTTCTGATTTTTCGCTTCTCCATCTCGGTTTATTTTATCATTTTAGATTTTGAATATAGCAAAAAACGTATTGGTTTTCCTAAGATGTTTATTTTTTATCCTGTGTACAAAAATTCGATCATAAATCTTGTTCAGATATACACGCGCGGCACCATTTCTAAAAAAGAATGTTGTCCAGATGGTACTATTAGGAGGTCATTTTTTGATTTTCCAAGCGATTTTCATAATATCTGGGAAAAACTAGGATGAAACGTAAGAAAAACGGGAAATGTACGAAATTAATTATTTTATTATTTTATCAATTTTTTATTTGTTGTTATTCTGTTAAAAATATTATTAGAGACTTGAAATTCGGACAAAAAATTTATATTTGCCTTTTTTATACGTAGTAAAATTTTCAAATAATGTAAGCTATTTTTGAGCTATTAAAAAATATTTTAATTTTGCGAGTTTTGTACGTAATTTTTATTCGGTAGATACTCTGTGGTAGAATCGTTAGACTTAACAGAAATAATTGAAAATTTAAAAAGAGGTTAAATTTTACTTTGTGGTAAAAAAAAAGTTGACTTTAATGTAGTATTTGTTTTATAAAGGAATTTTGATACTACATTTTGACGAAAATTGTTTGAGTAAAAAATTATGAGGAATTTAATTTTTTTGAACATATGTATATTGCCGATTTAAGAAGCATGGTAAAGTCAGAATTGAGCGGACTGACTAAGTTTCGAAATTATAGCTTTTTGAAGTTCAGATATTAAGCAGATATTAAATGTTTGTATTAAATAACTCTACATTTACTATATATGTTTTTTTTGGTCGAATGGTCATGAATACGTAATGTCATATTACGGATCGCAGATTCAAACCCCGGTGTTTGAAAAAAAAATTATTGCACTTTTTTTCTCTTTTATCTAAATCGGGAAGAGACATATCCATTTTATGTGTATCTAGAGACCTAGCTATCGCTCGCTCGGACGATTATAATCGAAAAATACCCCTCGATTTGTTGTGCGAACTTTTCTACCAGAAATCTTGCTCCAGTGTATTAAGTGTAACTTATTTTCAGAAAGAAAATTTCATCTCCATGGTTGAGGTAGGTCATTTTTGTGATTTTTCAGTCGGTTTTCATAAAATCTGGAAAAACCGGGATAAAATGTCGGAAAAACGAATAATGTACGAAATATAGGTATTAGTAAAAAATATGGCTTTTTTTTTCTGTGTACTATTTTCCACCTGAAATTTTACTTCGATTTACAATGATAGCACTATTTTTGAAAGAAAATCTGATTGAGAAGGTACTTTAGGGAAGTAATTTTTCGATTTTTCAAAAAGTTTTCTAAGCAAATGTGATAATCCGGGAAAAAACAGAAAAAACGGGAAAATCGATACAATATTAAACAAATATTATTAAAGAAAATATATAATTTAATTATTTGACTATAGTATGGCATATATATTGTTGACAAAGCATCACTATCAACTGAAGTGAATTGTGCTCAGAATCGTTTTTACGTTAGCAATGGTTTATTGTTGCTTACAGATATACATTAAATTACCAATAACAGTGGCTGCATCCGTCTCCATAATCCTAGGACGTATTTTTCTACTATTCAACCAACACCTAAGCTACATCCTATGTACTCATTACTTATCCCATCTTTTCTCGGCACTTCACTCGTCCACCTAAGTATTATCATATCTGCTACACTCTTTCTCTATTCTATTTTTCTGTCTACCACCTGACAATGACCAATGCAACATAATACACCAGTCTCACTACATTCTTGTAGGATTTATCTTTAGTTTTATTAGAATTCACTTAACACACTAGATTTTATCGATTTTATCTACAAAAGCTATGTACAGTATTGAATACTTACCTGTATCCGAAGAGTTGATAATAGATATATTTTCAAAACATTATTATTTTCAACAAAACACAACGGGTAAGTGGTAAGGGTACCTACTTCTTCTTCCAGCTTATATCACTCTTCAAGAGTCTCGGTCGCAAAAACCAAATCATTTCACTTGTCATAACCTCGTTCTAACTTCCTCAAATTCCGCACTCCGAGGCCTTCTAAATTGTTTTCCACAACATCACTCCACCTCTTTTGTGGTCGACCATATGGTAAGGATATGCTTAACAACTTGACTGTCACGTATTTTTTTGAAAACTTCAATTGCCTGCCATGAGATCTCACCAAAACTTCATTTGCCTGCCACGAGATTCCAATTGGGATCTCGGATGTATTTTTAAAAAAATGATATCTCTTTAAGAATCTTATTTATTAGGATTTTTGTGGAACATTAAAACAGTATAACCGCCTCACGCCGGTACCTTTAGCATCCAAATACGTATTATTTTGAAGGAGTTATGTTGTTTTTAAATTGTATTTTTTTACAATACAAATATCGTAACATATTACATACATAATTTATTATTATTATATGAATACATTAAGAAATATTTAATATAACTTATAATTTAAGTGTATTTTCATTTTTGGTAACGGGACTGATAAATGATAACACATTTACACATTCTTTGATTTTAAACTACTATTACATGTTCAATACAATGAATATCTAGCCAGATTAAAACTTTGCTATATACATTAGTGGAAATTGTAATTTTATACGACTATATTATAAATTCAATATATAAAAAAGAATATTTTCATGGAATCTCAATTACTCCCTCTATCTCTATTTTTAAGATCTCGTATGGAATCTCAGTTTAAGGGATTTTTTAAAGGGTAACGGGTAAAGGGTTTTTTAAGGATCTTAAGGTTTTTTAAGGATCTCATAATATGAGATCTTACGTCCTAAAAATCCAAAATCCTGTCGAAACTCTTTACTTTTGAGTCACTAAAATAATTGTTAACTTTCAAAATAAATACCCTATCACTTATGGAAAGTTTGCTCTAAAAACTCATGGAAGGGAAGAGAACGTTCGTGAGATCCTAAATCGGGTCTCATGACATCTAAATTGTTAAAAAAAATTTTTTAAAAAATTACAGCAAATTTATGCCCCGATTATAGGTATATAATACCTATAATAAGTATACATACTCGTAAATACTAGGACAGTTGATTGAATGTGAAATCTGTATGTACTGTCTCTGCCATACAAATGTATGGCATATTAAATTTACGTTCAATATTTTTGCCATGTCCTGAAACCTGCTTACTCAATAGGAAGGACATCTTCCGCCATGTTTTTATGCGGTTGTATATTAGTCTTTCCAGTAATTTAAATGTTACTTAGTAAAGAAATAGGTAAGAAATAAGTCTGAAATATTCTGACTGGTTAGTCTTTTTCCAGATTTTACTTCAGCAACAAATTTAGCTATTTAGAACCATCTAGGAAGGACTCGTGGTCAAGAATATTGTTAAACAAGTCTCTGAGAGATATCCTAGTTCTAGGGCCAGAGAAAATAAAGAATCTTCTCATTTTTTAATTCTACTGTTTTTTTTTTTATTTTAAGTTCTGCACCCAAATTATATTTGACTATTTATTTTAGAATATTATTTTGCATTTTCAGATAATATATAAGTTAGCATAACAATTGTTGTAATCATTTTTTTTTTATTTTTGTTTCAGATTTGGTATGATCATTAATAGTCCAAACTGCAGTAATAGATGAGGTGAGTGAATAATTTTATTAAACAGTTAGTGAATCATTCCCAAATCTCTATAGTATTACTAAAATAAAATCTAACTCTATGTTGATAAATAGATCCATAAAATATGAATCTTGGCTGCTAAGTATGAGCATCATTTTATTTAAATTAAAGTTAAAAAGAGTACTAATTTAATTAATAACTGCATTATATAATTTATCATATTATGATACATAGGTACAGCAATTTTTTTTTTTCGTGGTTAATTTAAATCCCTTAAACTATTTTTCTATTAAATTTGTTTTAATAAAATAATCTAAAAATAATAAGAAATGATGCTTAAACTTTTTATTATAGTATGGTATAACATGCTGGGTATGTTTCATCTAGGCCACTGTTTTCTTTATTTTAAACACCGGACTGCTTATTTAGGTTTTAGCTCTTATATATTATAATATATATAATGTTAATATAATATATATAATGTTTTTTTAATTTGTTTTTAATCTACTATAATAATTGTGAAGAATTGTTTTATCTTGCAAAGTTTCACCAAATAAAAAAAAAAAACACGTTAGGTAAGTAGAAATTAGAGATTATTTAATTTTTGTTTTCTTCAAAATTATGTTGATATTATTAGTATGCTTAGAATTGTTTAAATGTATTAACTTGTGTTATGTATTTCCCTGTTACTAAGAAGTGTATAAATAATATATATATAATACCTATATATTTTTTTAAACCTACTTAATAAAATAATTGAATGAAATTCAATTAAAAACAGCTTAATTAATTTTTGAAAGAATTTAGTTTTCATTTAGTTATTTAGTTTAGACAATTTAATTGACTTAATATTTAAAATAAAAGGCATTAGTTTAAATTTGTTGTAGGCAACTTATTATATAAGTATAAGATTTTTTACACTTTCAACCATTGCCCACCAGGGTCGTCCTAACGATTTGTAAGGCCTAGAGAGAAATGTTAGGTTCAGAGCATGGCTATAATTGCCACCTCACCCAAAGGACAGCCTTATCGCTCATTATATCAAGAAAAAGTTGAATTAACCACAAAAGAAGGAGGGGAAAATAAATATAATTTATCTGTACATTAGGATACTAATATTACATAAAGTTTAACTTGATAATGAATATTCTCTGGTTTTTTTTTAGTAGGTACATTAAAATAACTGACATTCTTAATAATGTAGTTTGGTAGGTAGGTAATCGTAGGTAATATAATTGATGTTTATCATCTTTGTAATGTGTTTTTCCACAAATTTCGGTGTTTTAATTAGTAATTTCAGTAAAACTTAAAATAATACCGAATTATAATTAAATGATCTAAAATTTGGATTTTTGAAGACCTATTTATGATAAGACCTACCTTTACTATTTAGTTTTNATTTTTTTAAGATTTCAGACCATTTGATTGTTGTAACTACCGTTTTTTCATTTAAATGTGGTACATATAATTAATATTCATAATTTTGTAATTAGTTCGAAAAACAAAAATATAATTTTTTAGAAAAGTGTATTAACTTATTTATGATGGTTGATACTTATACAATTTCATACAAATGTTACACACGCTCTGGTAGGTAAGAGCATAACATTTTAAAATTCAAACTGAAATCATTATTACACTATTCTACTGCTGAAGAAGAACAAAAAATATTAATACACTTTTAAATAGACAATAACATTTCATAAAAATAATGATAATTTAGATAATTATTATTTATTATTTTTATGTAATATTTATAAACACAAAGGTAAAAAATAGTAAACCACAAAACAGAATTATATCGTTTTCCTCCGATACCTATGCTCTATACTGCAAAAAGCAAATATAATAATATTATGTTTATTAAATACATCTATTATGTATTGTAATAGAATTTTTTATTTTTCAGACAAAAAAATTAATAAATAATTTGTTTTTAGAATAAAATAGTAGGAACTCACTAAACTATTGCTTATACCATTATTGCTAAAATACATTATTAATTATCCTACCAGAATTACAATATTATACAAAAATGTAAATAGTGCGATCAACATTTACCATAATATGTAACACGAATACAGGTTATTATTATAATCGTTAGTTTAAACCCTGTGAGACATATCCTGTGTTCAACTACTAAATTTGATTACAATTATTGTTTTAGTCTTGTGAAATGTTATTTTAAAAAAAAAAAAACCTAAATAAAGTGAAACACTGTTAGCACCAAAATTAATTATAACTTAGTGTATACAGTTTTATGATAAATGTTAATAAAGTCACAAGTAAAGATACCCAATAGAAAAAAAAATTAAAAATAGTATATTGAAACACATCAATGGTCTTAATAATTTATAATACTAATCAGTACATAACATTGAATTTAAATGTATTCAAATATTTTAAACCATTTTCCGACCATCAAGTTATACAATAAGAATTAATTATTTTCCATGCAATAGAATAGGATCTGTATTATTGAAACAATAACAAATTGAATTATATTTATTATTAAATCATGAAATTTGAATCTGAATTTGAATGAAATTATTTAAACATAGGTATCTATAAGTAGTGTAAAATATGTAGGGTATAAAATAGAATAGTTATAAGTTACAATTATTAATATTAAGAGTTGATTAATTTAGAACCAATGGTCGGTAAATGTTATAATATAATATGATAGGTATTAATTAATATAAACTATGAATAATGAATTGGCTTTGTCTTAATTTGATTGTATCACAATATAAATCACTTCATAATTAAACAATAAGAAAATGAATGATAATATTATATATGTACACTGTTAAAAGTTTGGAAAAAAAAAACGTAACAAAAATATATTTATATGAATAAGTAGTTTTTTTTTTTTTTTTTTTTTTTTTTAATTTGAATAGTACATTTCAAATTTAATAAAGTGATAAATTGTATGTAAATATTTTTCAAACTCACAGTAAAAATTAATAATATTGTATAAGTTTAATGAGTTAAAAAACATTATTAAATATTAAAATGGAAATATTTAATAAATAATGAAAATATTAGTAAATAATTATTATTTGGCACTTAAGTTACTATAAAATAGGGATAATAGATGAATATTAAATAGAGCAAATAGAATAAGTCTTTGACATTCCTGTTTTAAATTTAAGATCATTTTTACCCATAAACGTAATAATTAATAACGTTCAGAAATAAAACTGGTTGCACATTACTAGATATTAATCCAACACTTTGATTCAGAAAGATCAGTAGATTTAATATCAATAACAAATTTAAAGTTAAAATAATAATAATAACAAAACAAAACAGAAAAATGGTGTTAAAATTATGAATAAATAAATCAGGGAGGATGAGGCTTGAAAAATCCGCATTTTCACATCCTATACTATATTGTATTCTGGGGGAAAAACTAAGACTTAGTGTCTTTTACTGTGATCAAATCCCCTCTCCTTCTGTCACACTAATAGGATCTACTTCTTAAGTGTGTAAAGCATATTAGATATTTCTCCCCAACACTGTAAACATGAATTATACATTCATTTTTTTGAAATTAAATTAACAATAATATGCAATAAATTAACTAAAATTAATGAGTGGCATAGTGCAATGGCAGTGGTAGTTTCAACTCTACCTGTATACATAACTGATAGACATAATCTTATTTCATCCACAATAAAAATATGAAACTATAACTTAAGACCTGCCTCTATAAAAAAAATTTTCGAATACATAATTGACAAAGAAATTAAAATTATAAAGTTATCAATCTGGTTTAAACCAAAGTCATAACATTCAATTTCATTCTTCATATAAAACTTAATTAACCAACTTAAGAATACATTGAATGTACATTTTGTCATCTCTGCCCATCTAACAAGAATATAGTTAAAATTGCATTATATCAATTTTTCATGCTACTAATTGTACATTTTTATGAAATCAACAGATTAAAATTTAAACTGACATACTTTGCATGATGGATGGGCTACTGTTGTAGGTGAAAAGTTGGGAGAGTAGAATATAGTGGAGAATTTAATATATATATATCTGAATGCAATTATTAATCTTTGCCAACAAAAAACGATTCCGAGCAAATTTTTAGTATACATGTTTCAAAAGGCCGTAATACATATGATTATTGTCAAAATAAAATATTAAAATTCTTATATAAAAAAAATATATAATTTTCATCACTCAATTATTATTATTTTTTTTTTGACCACAAAATAAAACTTATAATAAACTTTTTGTTAAATTTTGAAACATTTCTGTTGAGTATAACAAATTTATCCACAGGATACCTATCAAATAAATATTATTTAAAATAATTCATAAAATTAAAATTTCTATAAAAACTCAAAAATGACTTAAATGTTTTGACAATTTTACCACGAATATAAAAGGCAAATATAAGGTTACTGTAAGTCTGCAAATATTTTAAACTGAATCACAACAGAGAAAAAAAATTTTAAATTATAAAAGCAATATTTTCATAAATTTTCCCCCTTATTATGAAAACTCCTGGGAAAATCTAAAAATGACCTCATTAGAAAAATTCCTTTTCTAAAAAGGTGCTACACTTGATACTTTGAAGCCAAATTGCTAATGGAATTTTTGTACAATGTGTGTACATAAAAATAGAAATAAACATCATTATAGAATCAATACATTCCTCGCTAAGCTCAGAATTTAAACAAATGTTCTACAGCTACTTAGTAAAATGTTTTATGTTTATTTTGGCTACCAAATCAAGTTTATATAACCAACTAGGACTGAGGAAGGTGTGGAAGTACACTAACACATTCTTATTATGATACCAATTAGAAAGAGATAGGAAAAGTACGTTCAATGTACAAAGAAAAAAGAAAATATAACTGTCCTATTAAATACAATCAAAGCTTAGGAATTTAAAATTTAATTAATTTGTTCTTGATTACTAGTTCATTGAATATGGTTTGGACATTAGATTCAGTTAGTTCATAATACCTAACTTTTTAGCACAGGTGACTGTCATCTATCATAATTTAACAACATTAATATAGTATGTTGCGCAAACAAACAATAAATAGTATACTTCACTAGTAAATATTGGATCACTAAAGTAATTTTTAATGTTCTTCATGAACCGTGCTTAATTCTTTGACAGCCATAAGTATACGTTTAATGTGCCCTACTTTAGTCATTCCGATTTCTTTAAGGTCACGGCGAGATAAGTTTAATAATTCTTTGCCTCGAATATCATTGTTTGCGAATACTTCTGTATATTCTCCTAACTGTACTGATTCAAGCCAAATTCCGACCTCCACTGTACTCCAGTTTGATATATCTTGATTGACTTTTTTCGAAGATATTATGTTGGCTTTCCATAATTTTTGCCAAAATTGTCCTTTACGACACAACTTATCCTATTATTAATATAATTAATTTATCATAAAATAGCAAAAATATTTCTAATTAGGTACATTATTAGTCATAATTATGTTTATGTAATTTTAGTTAGAAATTTGTGTTTTACACATAGTAAATATAATAAATAATTACCGATTCAAAATCATTGTTCAAGAAGTAAACATAAGATGATGAACCATTATCTCTTTCAGATTCTTTTGAAGATATCAAACATTTTTTAAATTCTACTTCAAGTTTACTAAAAGCCAAAGTCAGCTTAACTACAAATTCACCATCAAAAACCTAAAACAAAACATTATTAATTATAGATAGATAATTAATATGTTTATTTTTAATAATATAATTTACTAACATTCCCTGCATTTCTAATCATAGTTAGAGTTTCTTCATGTAACTGTTTTGTACTCAAAACAACATCTGAGGCTACTGACCTTAATTCCTTCTAAAATCAATAACAATTATAAAACTGAGGTGTACACTATTATTATAGACAAATAAGATCAATGACACATACTTCTTTATTTTCGTTTTCAACAATACTGATTTTTTTAACAATTTCATTGGTTGATTCACTTAATTTTTTAGAATCATCTCCCTTGACTAATTTCTGTTTCAGCAATATTTCTGTGATAAGCCTAAAACAAAATTATAATAAAATAATTGATATTAAATTACAAGCAAATACATATTAATATTGTTAGTACAAAATTAAATTATTACCTAATAAAATTTGTAGTGGCTTCCATAAAATCCTGTAGAATTGACCATTCCTCTTGACTCAAAGGAGTAAATCTACATAATGATTGACTATGAGTGCGTTTACTCTGGTGTTTAATTTGTTTCTGCTTTTCTTCCCATGATTTTAAAGACGATTCAAGAGCTTTATTTCTACACAACATTTTCATTCTATTCTTGTGAATTATACGTATCATTCCTGGTGGTTGTACCCATGCTTCACCATCAACTTGTATTGGCACCCCTTCATCTCCTTAAGTAAAAGTTATAATTCAATTTTTATTTATTCAAGCAAATAAATAAATTATGCAAACCCATAATATTTATTTGCACTGTAGTGCATTGGGCGATGCGATGATGTTGTAAATTTATTAAACGGGAAGCAGCCATTTGGATAGTTCCAAACACAGCGACAACTTCCAATATCCTGTCATCAATACTAGGAGCTAAGAAAACTCTGTCTTCCTTTGTTCCACCCCAAAAATTAGTGCCACCCATAAAACTACACATTAAAATAATTAATTACTCGAAATTACTTTTATCAACTTATATCTAAACATGTTGATAAATTACCTCGGTATATTTAGTATAACAATTCCTTGTAATGAAGGAAGAGGAATTCTTTGCCCATCGCATTCCAGTTGTACCCTTTGATCCAAATTTTTATATGTTTTCTAAAAGAAAAACTAATTATTATTTAATATTTCACATTAAGTAGGCTATTTGTTTTATAATGCGAAAAAACCCACAAATACAAAATTAATCAATAAAATCACATTTGTGTGTAGGATTCCTTAACCGTACATAGTTTCTACTTAAAAAAAAAAAAAAGAGCTAATACTGCTGATGTGCAAGATATGAATAATGGTGTACTACTATTGAGGTGGGGAGTTAAGAAGATAAAAATATAAAATTATGTAATTTATACCTATAAGCAATGATAAACCATTGCTAATGAAAAATAATTAGCAAAATTTGTTCATACATGATTTTTTGAAATACAGTAATATTTACAAGTTTCATCGAAATTTGATTTTAAAACCATTATACAAAAAAATTACAATCTACTTTTAGACTCCGTGCGTACATAGGGATCCATAGATTTTACTGTAGCATGTTTTCTGAAAGAAAATTGTATCTAGTTACTGCATTGTGGAGATCATTTTTTGATTTTCCAAAGGGTTTTCATAATTGGAAAAAACCGAAAAAAAAAAAAAGGAAAATATTTACAGCGTACATATCTACCAGATAAATTGTTTTAATCAAAAAATGTACATTGTTCGGTTTTAATGTGGTAGGAGAATAAGAAATTTGGGTTTTCATTTTCTTTGTGTTAATATTTAAGGAAAATCGGAATGCTTTATATTTTCTGCCAGAAATATTGCTTCAATATAAAAATAACAAGAGACTTTTGTTGCATTTTTAATGTAATTGGTGGCCAAGATAGTCGTTTTAATTTTACTTTTAGATTTTTTGAATATTATGCAAAAATGAAAAAAGGAAAGTTACAGAAGTAATAGTTTCATTATTTTTAACTTTTTTTTTTGTTGTAATTCAATTGCAAATATTTATAGAAATTTTGACAGAAAACTTATATTTACTTTTTCTAGACATGATAAAATTTTTATTTGAGCCATTTTTGTGCTGCTTATAGATTTAATTTTATTAGTTTTTTTTTTATGTAATTTTTTTTTTTTTGGTAGCTACTCAGATACTCTATATGAATAAAACTTTAAGACTTAACTGAAATGCAAATTGAAAATTTGACAGGAAATTAAGAAGACGTTAAACCCATATTTACTGTTTTATTCAATTACCAGGTAACATACAAAAACAATGTTTACACAGAATAAGTGAACTAGGTTAATTTTAATTTCAGGGTAAAAATACCCTTTATGAAATTTATAGAGAACATTATTTTGGAGGGAATATCAGGATCTTTGTATTATTCAAAGTATACAGCTTGATATAAAAATTACAAAAACCATTTTTTTTTTTTTAAATAACTAACTTTTTATTAATTAGTTGCAATAACTAATTACAAATTAGTTATTGAATAATTATAATTCAAAAAACACCTATGACATTTTCTCCAAAATATTGTTATCTATACATTTTATATTATATACTTTTACTCTAAAATCAAAATTCAGCTAGTTTTATTTATTCTGAGTAAACATTGATATTGCATGTGACCCTGTAGTTGCACTGAGACAGTAGATGCAGGTATACCGTCATCTTATGTGGTTCATTGTCTAAACTATGATATCAATAAAATACTAACCAAATGAAAACTACATAAAGAACTTGCAAACATAAATAGCTCAAGAATCAAAATTGTAAAATGTCTACAAAAGGTAAATATAAGTTTTCTTTTGAAACTTTAAGTTTCTATGAATATTCGCAATCAAATTACAATGACAAAATAAAGTTTAAAATAATGAAACTATTTACTTTATAAATTATCCTTTTTTATCCAGTTATACTCAATAATTATGACAACTACACTGAAAATCATAAAACAACTCTTACTCTTATTTTTTAACTAGATTCAATATACAACATAAAAGTTCTCTTGCCATTTTTTGATTGGAGCAAGTTTTCAGTTCGAAAAGTTGTTTACAGATAGATAAAAATACATAATAGTAAAATCAATAAATCTCTTGCTCCGAATATAAAAGGTTTTAACATTTCTAATAGCTTAAAAGTGATTAAACACTGACCATTAATTTTTTAAAACATTATACATTATATGAATACATACTTGCAACCATTGTTTGCTTCCCAAAACACCATACCACATATAGTTTCTAGTTCTTGATCTACACTTTTCTGGATGTTCTTCGCGTTTATGATGAAAATCTAAAGATATTTTAGCATCAATGCCAATACCAAAATAATTATTCATAATACATTTTTCAAAATATCCTTCTCTAAAATTAAAAAAAATATAAGATCATTATTATTTATTTTTACTATTATACAATTTTATTTATTATTATTCTTTACAATAATGTTTCATCTGGGTCCATTAAAGGCACAGCTGGAGCACATAGAGCATCAGCATTTGCTAACAACACTTGACTTATCAAACTTGATTCTGTTACATCTATTTAAAGTAGTCATTAAATTAGATAATATTGTACATATTATATAATTTATAAATAATAATACTCACTGGGCCAAGTAGGTAAAGTAACTAAAGGGTTGATAATTGGTAAGTATTTTTTATGTTTAAGTGATGTATCATTTTGAATCGAGCATGGTGTAGGTGAAGGATTCCGAGTATTTAACGCTGTAGTACTAGAAATTTTATGTGAAGTACGTAAAGGTGAAGCATTCAACATGACAGGTGATGCTGCAGAAACTATAAAATAAAAAAAAAAATTATATATTAACAATTACATTTTCAATCCCAAAAAATATTTACACTTACGTCTCCGACAACTGTCAAAACTATTTCTTCTGCAGTCCAAATGTGACTCTTCAACATCACACATTTTATTTGGGGAGAAGTTCTGAGGGGATGGTGGGTTGATAACTACAGCTGGACCAGTCATAGTTTGACTTCTTTTTAATTCTTTGAAGCTATGCATTTCGTTGTCATAATTATTAGCATGAAAAATCATATCAATTTTAGGTTTAGTATCTAAAGGTGGAAATGAATCATCACCATTATTACTTAAATTACCATTAGATCCTTTAATTCTAACATTTATTTCATTTTTATGGATGATAAAATTTGATTCGCTTGGTATTTCTAAACTTGTACTAATATTTAGTTGTCCTGTTTCTTTTTTTATATTTTTAAATGCCAATTCTGCTTCAACTTCCATATCACTGTAAGTTTTATTTAAATGACGGCATTTAATTGATCTTCTTGCAATGTCATTTCCCTCAATAAAATGTGCTATACTACATTTCTTAAAATTATTTTCGATGATTCCAAGTTCTTTTCGGAAATCTTCACTTTCTTCATCTTCAGGCGACGTAGATATTAAATTGGATGCATCAATATCCGATTCCATGCATTCGCTAAGGCCAAAATTAAATTTAGGTTGGTGACGTGAAAATGTACTTCGACATGCTTGACGAAAACTGTAACGTGATGACGACGCTTGGCATTTATTTTCACACATTTTGTAACTATCTGGTATTTCATCAGAAGCTTCAGATGAATCAATGTGACAAATATTCCCTAAAGATTCATCTTCACTTATTTTGAATGTAGGATAAGTTTTCAGTGATTCATTAATTTGATCTTTGCATTCACTTTTTATCTTATCGGTTTCGTATATTTGACAATAACTATTCAAATCATCATACTGAGAAGTTTGATATGTGCTCGTATCTTCTTCAGAGAGTCTAATCATATAATTATAATAATCATGTTTTAGTTTATTTTATAGGAATAAAACATATTTTGTTATAATAGAATCTATTAGCACAATGTCTCTCTTAATGATGAAAATGAATTGATAATGTTTAAGAATATCAAAATTAAATCATATAAAATTCAGAATAATATAAAATATTATTCTAGAAGAAATTAATATATTAATGGTAGTGTAACCATACATATTTAATTTACAAAAATTTCCCATTGGAAAGAAAAATTATATACATTCATTTAAATATAATTAAATAATTAAGGGTTTATTTTGACTAACTACGGGATAAAAATGTATTGCAAATTTAAATTACAATAGTAATTAGTGAGTTAGATTACTATTTTAAACTTATTTTTAAATAGAAATAAAGTTCTTTTTAATCCTTCATTTAATTGGAATTAGATATTAATAACACTTCTAAATTTAAACTAATTTAAAATATTAAAAATACTAAAATTATTTGTCAAATTATAACAGAAGACAAAATTGCATGATTAAATAAACAAAAAATTAACATACACGGCATTTTGATCATCCTGTACAGTTTCTTGACGACAATCAGCAAATTCTACAGGCGCAGGTAACGATTCGATAATTAACTCTGTCGAACATGATGATTCTCTACTTAACATAGGTATAGGAGAAATGGATATAGGATTGGCAATTGATGTAGGAGTTAATTGTTGAAGGTTTAGATTATTGTCGATACTAGGCGATAGCTACAACAATTTAATAGTAATTTAATGTTAGTACAATAACTTTTATAATAATCTCATAACATACCAGAAATGATGCAGGAAGTGGAGTTGAAATATTAGTAGGACAAGTCTTACCAGAATGTTCAATTAATTTTGTAACTGAATTTTTAAGACTGTTAGCTCTTTCAAGTAATTGATTTTTATATGCCTGTAAAAATAAATTAAAAGTTAAACAAAATAAATAAATGCTTATTAAATCTTACTTTTTTAATAACTGAACTCTTAGTATTTTTTTCATTCTTATTTTTTATTTCATCAATAATACCTTGCAGGTTTTCTTCATTCAAATTAGGTAAATTACTACTACCTGTTTGAGGTTCCTGAAAAATAAATTAAATATTAATTATAAATTTTTCTATAGAAAAATTAAAATAATAATAATTAATAAGTTACATTTATTGGTTGATATGTTATTTTGAACTCTTCTTTTTGGAGTAGTTGTAAAAGAGTGTCTAATTTATACTTCAAATCTTGTTGCATATTATTGAATTGTGTATCACCAATACCGGTGCTAACTTCTGATATACACACAATAAAATCTTTAACAGTACCGCATAAGATCCTAATATATACATTGCAAAATGAAAAATAAATTTTAATATTTTATTTTACAGTTTTAAGTTTTACTAACTTAGCTGTGTTGACGATTATTTCATGGTCATTAGATTGCAAAATAACATTTAAATTTGACATAATATAACTGTAGTATGAAGATATAGCTGATTCTAAACTTATACCCTCTTCAATCCCAGAGTTCATTGTGAGTTTTGTGCCACTACCTATATCAATGCTACGTTCATATACCATTATACTCCATCTAAAATACAATGTATACATATAATGTGTTGAAAAGCAAAACTTACACAACTTGTTACATGTCTATATTTACCTGTCTAGGATCTTAGTACTAGCTCGTTCATACTTATCCAGTATTTGTGGTAAGTGAGCATCATCATCACAAGATGCACCCCAACCTAATACTCTGGCCAAGTCATTTCCAGTGCCTAAAGGCAGTACACCAACATGACACTGCACCTGATGCATAGACTTATTTATGATTATAATACTAATTTATCGGTAAATTGATATATTTTACCTGCATATTGAGTCTATCAATTTCAGAAAGTACCCAACCAACAGAACCGTCACCACTGCACACTAACACTCTGAATGGGTTGAAATGTCTAAATAGTCTTAATCTAATGACAAAAATAAATTGTTTATTTTCATTGTATAAATCAAAATATGAAGAATTTTAATTACCCGGGCCCAGGACCATTACCAATAAGATCAAACACTTGTGCTGGGTTTAATATTTGTTTGAATCGCCTAAGGAATTTTACACCCTGATTATCACCAGACTTAGAATTGACAAATACCAATAATGGTGAACATCCATGGGGTTGGATTGCTTCTAAAGATTCATCATTACCTACAATTATAAAACATTTTAGTATTTAAGTACTTATTTATTTATAAAAAATTAATTAAAAACATCTTACCAACAGAATGTATAGCTGTTGGTGGCACAACACTCAGTCGATTTGATCCCAGTGGACACTTAATAGTATGTCTAGGACGACATGCAGTATGTACTGTAGCTTTACACCATAAACATCTCCAGTCTTGAAGCCTGATTTAAGTAAAATTAAAGATGATTGGAATTTTGTACATTTATAATTTGGTAAAATATAATTTATCACAAACCTTAACACAGAACCGCAAGTTTTGTCACAAACTGCACATTTAGAAGACACGGGTAAATTTCCTTCCATCCATTGGTGTATCATTAAAATATTCTACAATATTATATATTATTAAATACATAATATTAATGGTAATACTATAAAATAAACTATTGAGATTTAAAAATAAATTAAATCAATATTTAAAACTATTTACAAATTATGTAAAGCTTATTTCTATACATCAAGAACATATTCAATGTGTACATATGCCTATATCTCATTTACATTCAGCCATTGCTGTAACTCCTCACGCTACTGTATTTAATTCCCAAAATACTTCAGTGGGAGTGTAGTAGGCAGTGAGGATTTAAATTACTAATTTGTACCGGTTAGGTAGCTGCAAATTTACCACTCTTGACAGGAGCATCGAGCAGTGACAATTTGAGGAGCATGGTTAGCGCGAGTGATATGTTTACATACTCGCATTGTCCACTTTCATGCTCAGTTTCTCTGCTTACTGCCACGGAAGTGGGCTGAATGTAAACGAGGCATAATATTTGTAAAATACATACTTAATAAAATGAGTAGTACTATAACTAAATAATACTTATAATTTTAATCTAACCCCTATATATTATTATTATTTTTCTTTTTTTAAATTATTAAATATTTAAAAATACACTGATATTGTTTCATAATAAGTAGTGGGTATCTAAAACTAATTATTATTACTTACCCCTTGTTTATCTTCAACTATGTCTTTTCCAACGCTAGCTAATGTAGTCCACTTACAATTGCTGATTGTCTTGCCTACACATCTTTTATGGACTTTACACTTACATACCTCGCAACTATATCCATGAGATGTAACGCCTAAAAATGTTTTTAAAAAATGTAAAATGAACAATGAATAAAATATTATGGTATTACCTGATAGCTGTTCTCGGCAGATATTACAATACGTTGGCCGTGCATGAGATGTAGCATGCCATGAGTGATTGCCAGATAGAAGATCATTTAACTCTACACCAATTGGCTACAAAAAAAAAAAAAAAATGCTATATGTATTAAAATATCTATAAAAGTACATAACTAGATTAATATAATTCTTTTTCAGAAATGTTTGTCAAATACTAATGGGTTATGATTAAATTGAATTATTTAAAAAATGATCAAGTATAATATTACACTTTAAATTTGAGATCTTAGTGCCATTTATTTTTAGCCGAAAATGAAAATATATTAATATGGAACCGAGGAAAATTTCGTCAGGGTTTTTAATTGAATCTTTAAGTTAGTATAGTTAATCAAATTGACATTACTTGATTTAAAAGATCTCTACTGGACGTAACTTTTAACGCTGCTATCCAGTCTTCCATGGTATATAAGCACAGCTAATCAAAATGCGCCGGGCTTGGTCATCTGAAAAATTAAAAGTTGACAAAAAATCATTAGCTAATAATTTCAATATTTGCGATCTTAAAAATTTTTGACTAACCGAAATACTGAACACTCCAAAATTGAGTGATCATATTTTTGTTCGACCTGACAGGTAAACCTTACATTACAACTTATTGTGCAGCACGTAACCACCATTTGAAAATACTTTATAAAATTAAGTTAATAATATTATTAAATAACAAATATTAATTTGGAAGACTATACTAATGTTATCACCGATTCATATTAATTTCTAATCAATGACCGTGGTCTTAACACTGATAATAGTGATTATCACGGTCTTGCTTCCGTCGAATCTGATAAAATCGCCGGGACCGCCGCACTATGATATGATTGTGTATTTTACACACCCGCACCGCATTCTGGTGGTTTATAACGATAAAAATAATAATCGGTGTGGAATGGGGACATTCTAATATTGATAACAGATTATTTATATAGAATAGAGATTTCGTTGGGGGACTTTTCCGGCACTATTATTATTATTATTATTATTACTATAATACATAGGTACATAATAATAATAAATGTACACCCAATTTATGACAGAGTCCTTTTGATGAACTGTGTATATATCCTAAACGGTATTCGGTCAAAAATTCCGGAAACAAAAAGTCCATGGACAAAAAGTTCTTTTTGAAAAAAGTTGGACCAAAAGGTCCGGACTCATTTTTTTTATTGTCGGGCAAAAAGCCCGAGCACATTTTTAATGTCAGACAAAACATCCGGAAAACTAAAAATTATCTTCTTATTATTATTACTTTTACACACTTTTACACTTTTATTATTTGTCAACTATATTTATACCACATTAAGAAAATAAAAAAGTTGTTATTTAATGGGTAATCATATACCTACGGTTTATCACAAACTTGGTTCGAGTATTCGGTGGAAATATTCAAATAAAATTTCGAAAAAATGTCCGGCTACTTTAGAAACTTCCAACAGTAAGCTGAAAATTGTCATTATTTATATTATTGTAGTGTTCAATATTTATATTGATTATTTTTCAAAACGTAATTTGTTTTAAATTATTATTATTATTATTGTAAAATGTAAAAATGAGCTCGGACTTTTTGTACATCAATAAAAAAATGAATCCGGATTATTCGTCCAACTTTTTTCAAAACGGACTTTTTGTCCATGGACCTTTTGCCTTCGAACTTTCCATCCGGGATTCATTCTATATAATACGAGAAGTATAGCGACCATGTACAAAACACGAACACCCGCTATATTCACCATTGAGGAATCCTGACTATGCAGCCTAAGTATACAAAGTGTATAGAATTTCATTTGAATATAGTAACCTACTTTGGTTTAGATTTAGGTATTTAAACAAATAAACAGTAATATAATCACAACCGTAATTACCGACATTACCGTTAACCTATAATTACCCGAAATACTGCGATATTATGACTTGGTAGTTCACGGGTTGTTATAACGATTACAACGTAGGTAAGTCACTTTTTACTGTGTACGTATAGGTAACGCAGTAATGTGTGTCTGATTACTCTTTTTACTACAGTCAAGGTATGTAGATACCTACCTAACCGAACTATAATGCATATTGGGCAAATCGTACTTACGTTTTACATTTTCCTATGTTCCTGCAAGCAATAAAATTACTGTGGAAAATAAAACGCTACTGAATATAAAATCAAAACGAGGAATACATAGGAAATATTATACAGCGCACACAAATAATAATAAAACATTTCTCATCAAATTTTATCGGTAGGTCGACAATCATGTCTTTTTAGGTCGCATATTTGATTTTGTCGAAAATATGTACCACTATTTGTTTTTATTTTTTATTTTATTTTTTTTTTTTTACATAGAGAGTAAATCAATTTTAATAAAAAAGAAGGATGAGATGACATAAATTTAAAACGTCACATATTTCTTTTCCCCGAGGTTTATTGGTAGATCGGTATAGAATATTATTTTCAAAATCTGTGTGTTTTTAAAATTATTTTCCTTAACCTATAGCTCACCATTATACACATGCAACTCTCCCGTTAAAATGAACGTGTAGTGTCGACGTTGTCTTGGCTAAATATTCGAAATAACCGCTCGTACATTTTGTATCGGAATCAATCTTAGCACAGTGGGCAAAATAAGCGATTTAGGTGGACACATTTATTTACTTTGGAACAGTTAGGTCTAGTAATGATTGCAATGGAATTTCTGTGCGAGTGTCTGCAATGGTAATGTATTCTTCAGAAGGATAACATGATTTTTTGCGAGTCAATAAGAAATAATTTTTGTGTGGACGTTCATTTGGGCGGCGCAATGACTAAAGAAGAAGCAAAAAAACCACGTGATGACATGGTAGGTATTATGAACCGGGTGAGCCAAAAGTTTCGAAAATGGGCATCTAAAGATTGTGCATTGATAGACCATAAGAATGCGCACGATGAAAAAAACAATTATGATGATACGAACAATATTAAGCCTCTAAATGACGACAACAGCGTAACAAAAATATTTTGCTTTTGTCGGAACGCAAAGGACTTACTTTGTTTTCGTGTCCGTACGTATGTAAACGACGAGCACTTGACGGAAGCGGAAAATGTTGTCCGACATCGCTACTATTTTCGATCCACTGGGATCGGTCGGAATCAGTTATTATTCAAGCAGAGATTACGAGGCAAAAACTGTGGCGACCGCTACCCGTGGAAATTAGTCAGACTTGGCAGGTACACCGGAAGAATTTAGTATCGCTGGTAACGTCGAAAAACGACCGTTTCTCGTTATCAAAGGACAAGCGTGCCTACCATCGATATGGTCGACCGGTTAATAGATTACGCCCGCATCGACGGATGTGTTATGTCATCATGAACAATAATTCCCTCTCGCCACCCCCCCCTCGCAAAGGTTTATGCGATCGCAATCTATTGCAATTCGCAATGATATTACATTTCTGACTACGGGTTAACGGCCAATCATATTACGTTTCTCCTTATCGCCAAAAACGTCGGCCCGCGGCGACGTACCACGAACGTCTCCGCGCTCCGCTACACAGTTTTCCGTATTCGTTCGTTCTTTTCTTTGTTCGTGTCTAGACCTCAGTTTCGAAATTTCTGTCACCGGCCGGTCTTTAAATACAGTTCTCTTAATAAAATACTCGCGTTTACTGCACGGATTCACCAATTTTTGCCGCCAAGAAAAGGTCGTGTACCTTGGCACGATTCGTGATGGTGTCTCGAACGAATCAATGAAGTGATTCCCGATCCGGTCCGCTGTGCGGACATCTTCAGGAGAACAATGGTAAGATGTATGCAATTTAGTAATTGGCCGATACCCCGTTAGTTAGTTAATTAGTTTTTAAGGTAATTTAATTAAGGTTTCTGCGTATGAATTTATATATAATATTTTATTTTTATGTTAATTCTTTCTGATAACTTATTGGGAATCAACCAGCTAGATTTGTGTGTCCGTCTCATTTATGTTAATCCCCGCGTTCCACATCCTAAGTGCGATAGGCCAAAACCCCCCCGTATTTTGTTTTTTTGTTATTTTTCCTCTTCCCTTTAAGTGCTAGGTTTCGCATCCACGTGTGTTAGTATCTAAAAAAGGAATATATATATAGATCTATTTTCTCCATTTCGCGATTCAGATTCGGACGCACCCCGCAGGTTCACCCGTAGGGCCACCGAAACTACGGACCAGTCAAGATGGAACAAAAAGCGTTTCCGCTACCCTTCCCGGCGGTAAACTGCGTGACTTGGCAACCGCACATTTCTGCGGGGGTCTCCCCAATATCTAAGGTGCCCACGAACGTCCCACGTGGGGGTCCGTCTCTGTCAATACCCCTATCGATCAACACACACACGTGGATGGGAATTAATACTTACCCATAAATATAATAAGTCCCGGCCTGCACATTCCCCGTGATGCCACTATCTATGTCTGGACAACCCTTAGGACTGGTTGACGCCCCAGTCAATGTACATATATTAAAAATATAAATTGTCTGTAAATGTTTGTTTATAAGCCTATACATATATCAATGTCATAAATCGTACCTATTATTCATTCTTTCTTAATTAACAGTTTTTATGACCCGGTTTTTATGACAAAATATACTTTTGATTGATAAATTAAATAAATAACTATATACATACTTCCCCCCCAAGAAAACCACGTGTTTACTTATTTAAATTCTCTTTTTTTTTCCTTCCTTCCTCACAAAAATCCTAGGACTCCGGTCCTCGGACCTCGGTCCTAGGTTGGTGACCTTCCCACCAGGGGGGTAGTCAGCTGGGCGCTCGGGTCGGTTCTCAAACAAGGCCGATCGAACCGGGACGTCTCACGCTAAATAAGTTAGTGGTACCGCGATCCATCGTAAACAAAAACGGCATAGTCGTGTCGGAAATCCACGGATTTGCCGATGCATCGACTAACGCGTATGTGGCTTGTATATATATGCGATGTACTGACGAATTTGGCACGCATACGAGCGAGTTCATTGCACTAAGTCTAAGGCGGCGCCAATGAAAGAATGAAGGTAACATATTTACCCCGGCTTGAGCTTTGCGCGATGCTATTGTTGGCTAGACTGGCCCACCGAGTAGTCCCGAAGTTTAATTTAAAAATAAGTTGTGTTAATTATTGGACGGACTCGGCTATTGCACTCGTGTGGATTTCATCTTCCTCCACGAAATGGAAAACATTCGTGGCGCATCGGGTAGGCGAGATTGTTATTTTCATTGTTAGTTAGAAAGTCGTATCCGACCGAAAACAACGCCACCGAGACATTTCAGCCGATATGTCTGTGCGCTGAAGGTACCGTCCGTTCGTGTATGAAATACTAGTTATAATAAATATTGAACAATAAATTTTATAAAATAAATATTCCGTAACCAATGTCTCTAACATCTAAGATATCCGAGAACTAGCTACAGTTACAGTTACGTTCCGTAACACTTCCATTTCTTTTCCACATCCCCATCATTTTTTAACGCCCTTTTATCTTCCCTTTGAATACATCATACATTTTGAAAATACCTGGACCGTTTTTCTCTAGCCTAATCGATAAACTTTTTTTCACTTGGTTTTTAGTTTCTCATACAACTCATATCTCTTTAAATTGTTTTTGCTTACCATTCTCTTAGCTTTCACATACAATATTTTGTTGTCTGTCCAATAGTATCTCATCCTGTTCTTCTGCTAAAGCTTAAATTATTTTTCTTACTTTTTATTACTATTTGAACTTCCTCATCATACCACCCATCAAGTTTCTTTGCTCTCTGACCTACTACTAATATTATCACCAACGAATTTATTTTTCCAGTCCTTTTAACTAAAGTGGTCATCCGTTTCCACATCTCATTTACTCTCGATTATACCCGTTCTATAAATGATTATTGTATCTAAAACTAAATTAACAAACGTGTATTATCATTATTATACATGTTATGAAAGGAAAAAATAATGTAGGTACCTATAGGTGTATGTAGGTACGTCAAATGCATTACTGCTATTAATATCGTATTGTCCGGAATTTGCAAGGGTTGTGTGTAAACGCTCACCATGCCCTTTGTGTTTATCCATATATATAATGTGTATACTTATTTTATAGTGTGTTGTGTGTACCCTAAGTCGCATAACAATAACATCAACAGCCGTGGTACTTCAACGGTGCAATTAATACGAATTGTATAGGTACACCCCGATGGCTAAATAAACATAATATAGGTATCTACGGGAAAATAATATTATAAACGCAGTCGTTTTTCCTGCTGTTTGTATAGTTTTGGTTGTATTTGTTTTGTACAAGTAGATAAGTACACCACTCGTGTTTTTTTATCCGACCACATTTGCGCGGGATTAATAATATACACAGAGTGATTTCTCCTCCCATTCCATTAAAAGTCTGACATAGGAGTCTGGTGAAAGTTGGCTCCAAATCAATAGAAAATGATGGGAAATACAGAATTGGTTCCTGGGTCAAAATAAAGTATATGAATTGGCCAGTTCTCGGATAAAAATAAAATTACATAATATAACCATGTTACGGCCATATTTTAATATTAAATATAATCATGATTTTTTAATTGATATTATTATTATAGAAGTTAATTATTCATACTTAATTCTAAGACTTCTATCTAATACTACAAAATCTTTATTTTACCAATGAATGGCAATTTAGTACACACCATTTATAGTAGACATAATAATTAGTTCTTTTTTTTAAGTATTATTATTTATAACTGAAAATGTTAACAGTTAAAAACTCAAAAAATACAACCAAATATAAGTATTGATGATTGTATGAGTTACAATTTTCACCACTGACTATTTGTTTAACGCTCTGTGTCTATTAAATTGAGAAGAACTTTGAGAAACAAAACTATATAATGTATTATATAATATACTCTATAGAAAGACTT